TTAACAAATATTAATGTAGCTGTGATCTTTTTTGAAACATATAATTATTAATAAAATCCGGTGAAATTCTGATGAATCATATAGAGTCCAATATTATATATATACTTATTGAATTTTCTTTAAAAATCTTAAATTATCGATAGTTTTATGAAGAAAATTAATTATCTATTTCCATACATAGATTTACAAAAGGAGTATAAATGAATTTTTAGTACATTGAATGTGATTTAAAAGTAACTTCATTCATAATAACTCATGATTACTCTTCAGTATTGCTTTGCTATATTTCTTATTTAATTAAAGATAAGCCTTATAGTTTGAAATGTGAACCTTTATTTTCTTTAAAATATAAATATTGTAAATAAAAAAGCAAGGTAATTTTTATTTCTTCTTTCTCGTCATCGGAAGATAAGTTGTGAGTAGGGTATAAGTCGCTTGGCATATAATGAAGCTGATATTTGATACGAAATTTATTCTATGGCACTGAATCGAGTTTTATTTTATGTGATATTCCTTCTCTTTTTATTATATCACATACGAAGAATGAAAGAAAAGGTAATTAAGTATATCGTTGGCAAGTACATTCGTAACGTATGTTGTAACCGATAAAAAAAATAATGCTCAATGCATATAATTGATAAGAAATAAATACATATTCTTCTGATCGAATAGGATTTATTAGATAAATTCGAGGTATTTTGTTTTCAGTAATATTAAATAAAACGTCTTTTACTCTAGTGAATATAATATCTATACTTTTAATATGCTAAATATAAATACTATAGGATCAAACTTCGGAATATAGTTTTGTTTTTCATCTGTATGATTACCATATTAACTCTTCTAAATTACAATATGAATAAAATGTATTCTATATTGTGAAATATGTTTAAAAGTACAAATTCTTTTTTTTGTTTGTATTATACGAAAAAGAATAACAATAATAACTAAAAAAATAAAACTACCAAAAAGAAGATAAAAAAACTCATATATTAGTCATATCGAAAGCATTAATTCTCTTTGGTATTATTATTCGATAGAAATTTTTGTCACAGTAATGGACATCTTTCTAATTATTAATATAATTAGTTGTAATACACATATATACTACAACTAATTATAGCAATGATTAAAAGAATGTCTATTGCTGTGACTATATATACTATCGAATGATAATACCGAAGACAATTAATGCATTCGATATATCCTAATCTGGTCCGAGTAATTTTGTATCTGATGTATATCAGCAACTCTGGTAGTATAAATAATACTACATTTATGATAATTGCTTTGAATGGACTTCCTGATGGAGATGCCATGCATTCATATATAAAGATAGTGGCAATTGTTCCTAGTATTAACGTTGACCAAAAATAAAATTCATAACGATTTTTGTTTTGTACCAGCTCGTTCCTTTTTAAATTTAGTTGATAATCGTTTAAATGAACATTTCAAATTTCATATACAAGTCTTCGCATGCCTCTGGATACAATCAATAATACCATTACAAAGTGTAAGGAAATATAGAATGCAATACGTAATGATTTTGGATACGTATTTAGAAGACTAAGAATCAGTTTCCCAGGGCGACGATTCCGAACACCGTTTCAGGCAGGAAACGGCCGTGAACGAATATCGTTTTTCCCCGTTTAACACCGTAGTCCGTATACCCAGATTTGTATATGTAATCTTGCCGGAACGGAAATGGCGCCATTTCAGGTCGTATCCGGTGAATAACGATGAACCGTATCCATACCGTTTATTAGTCGTTTCATGCCTGAAACGCGGTGCTTTTTGCCGTTTTATACATGAGTACCCAGATCCATGAAGACGGGGTCGATTACGATCCGATACCGGTCGGTAAATGGTGCAATAACGGAATCTTTAAAGCCGTATACGGTTAAAATAGGAACCCTTTTCGGTCAGTATCTGACCGTATCATCTGAATAGACAGCAACTTTCTGTTATCATCTCCTACTTCTTCCCTATCTCACTTCTGTCTGTCGTCCTATTGTAACTAGATACTTACCCTTTAATTTATCATTATAGATAATCAAAAAATTAAAAAAAGTTGAAATAAATGAAAATACTTACTGTTCGATTTATCGTTTATTATATTAATAAACAATATAAACTGTTTATATAGTTCATAAAATCATTTTCTGAAGTTAAAACACTCAGCTTTATAATTTATTGCAATATGGATTTAATTTTTCATAGATGACCCTATCCATAATGCTATTTAGCTAACTAATTGTTTCGACTTTTACCAATTCATTTTTCATTTTATCATTGAGCCTTCATATAAAAAGTAAATAGCTAGAGTGTGGGTGTAGGGGTGGGGTGATACAATTTAGAAGAGCATACCACGACCGGTTTCGTCCTTGCTTCAGGGATTTCTCAAGTGGCTTGTGACATCTTAATTCGATTACAAGAATCTTGAGGGGTGTGAGTGGGTTTGGGTATGAGTACTTGGTGAATACAGTATCCACACCCAAACACACACCTTCAAGATTTCAATCTTAATAGGCATAACAGTTGGACAATCAGATCTGAACATGAACATAAATATTTTTACATAATTCGTTATGTGAAGCAAGAAATAATATTGATAATCGTTTATATAACTGCTGCATTTTTCTACGTACAACTTAGCTCGACGAATGCTAGCGCCATTATTACACATGTAGTCCTGATTCGATGGTTAATTGAAGCTACATTCGCTCCATGGTTTTTTTTCATAATTATATTTATGTACTATGTCGAATGGAATGACAACTCTTATATTATTGAACTTCCATCATTACATATTTTTGTACTAACTCTCAAGTTACCGTTATTCATCAAAATGCGATATATCGAAAGTGAACCTGACTGTTTTCTACATGATACTCAAGCATTTCTTTTTCATTTCTTATGTTGTGTATCTGAATATAGGAAGTCTTTTGTCAATGTATCTGATGTAAGAGCAAATCAATCGTGTAATTGGTGATTTTTTCATGTTTTTGTTTTGGATTAATTTTCAATAAATCGAATATAATATCTAATCAACCTTGTTCAACTTAAATTTTCAAAGGTAGAAGTTTTTCAAAAAATTAGCAGTTTATCATATTTTTTTTTCAAAAACTAGTAGTTTTATCGAAATGAGGATATTTTTTGATGATTTTTTTGGATAGGGATGAGCATCTTGGGGGCAGATGTGGGTGTAAGAACAGTATAATATTCATACTCACACCCATCCTTCAGTTGATCATCATCGTAATTTCTACATTATATTTCTTCGATAATGTTGATATATTAGTTAGAAAAATATTAATTCTATGAAAACAATTATGAATTTGTTATACAAACTGTGCAATAGTGACATCTTTTTGAATTCTGATAATATAAAATAACAAAATTACAACTGAAATAGGAAATATAATTAAGAAAAATAGATGAAAATATGAAATAAAATATTTTTAAATAGATTATCTATGTTGATTTAATAATCACAAATAATGAGTCATATTTTAGATTTGAAATCTATTCGTGGAGTGTCTTATTTTCTTTTTATTTCCCGAGAACGAGAATGTCTGGAAAAACTCAAGGCAACACTTTTCGAGTATTGAAACTTTTATATTAATTATTTATTCATTTTTATATTTTTCTTTTAGCTTGAAGTCCTTAAAGCACGTGGAAATGGTGTAGTAACAACTATTGAAAATGTATGTTTTGTTTTTCTATAAAACTAAATCTAAATTTTTCATTAAAGATATCAGCAAATGCAACAATTGCTGATTTAAAAAAACAAGTTGCTCAAAAAAGTAAGTTTTTTCAAATCTCAAAACAAATTTTAAAGAACAAAATGAAATTTTATTTTAGAGCCAAAACTTTATCCTGATCGTCAATCATATCGAAATGAACCAAGTAAGAATACAAATTTCGATTTTATTTTTAATTCTAAATCATTTTTGTTAGCTGGAAAATCGGTGAAAGATACACAAAAATTATCGGAATTAAATGTTGATAAAACAGGAAAAATTTATTTTAAAGATTTAGGGCCACAAATAGGATGGAGCACGGTAATTATACTTTTTAATATATTATTGTTTCCTATCTACATGATATTTATATATTAGGTTTTCATGGCTGAATATGCAGGTCCATTGGTTATTTATCTATTATTTTATATTCGACCAAGTATTATTTATGGTTCATCAGCAAGTTCAAAACCAATGCATTTAGCTGCTCAGTTAGTTAAATTCGTTTATCTTCCTCTTTTTTTAATCGAAATAATTTTAGTTTGGGCGCTGCTTGTTGGACATTCCATTATGCAAAACGTATTTTAGAAACAATATTTGTTCATCGATTTTCCCATTCAACAATGCCTATATTTAATTTATTTAAAGTAATTAATTTTATTTTGAAATTAAAATTAAATAAATAATTTATTTATTTATCTTTAATAGAATTGTGGTTATTATTGGGGATTTACTGCAATGGTTGCATATTTTGTTAATCATCCAAAATATACTCCACCACTATTTGGTTCAGCTCAAGTTTTTTTAGGTTTAGCAATTTTTCTTGTAAGTTAGTTTATTTTTAATCGACAAAAAAAACGAAAGAAATAATTTCTGATTTTAGATAAATGAACTAGGTAATTTATCAATTCATTTACTTCTTCGTAATCTTCGTCCACCTGGTACAACTGAACGACGTATTCCATATCCAAATAAAACAAATCCATTTACAAACTTATTTCATTTTGTATCATGTCCAAATTATACTTATGAAGTTGGTTCATGGTTAGGATTTTCATTAATGACACAAACATTAACTGCATTTCTATTTACAATTGCTGGTACAGTACAAATGACAGTTTGGGCTAAACAAAAACATCGTGCTTATAAAAAAGATTTCGCAGATAAATATCCAAAACAACGTAAATCGATCATTCCATTTATAATTTAATTTGAAAAACAACAAAACAAAGAGACTACTTGCTTTTTTTAGTTCTATGTGTGTGTTTAGTTTGATGTCTAAGTTTAAAACAACAAAAGATTATTTCGATTTCATCATTCATTTTTAAAATAAAAAAATAAAAACAAAACAACGTTTCCTTTGCTTTTAGATTCGTATGAATTTTTTTTCTTTCAATGAAATGAAATCTTTACGAAATAGTAGTAGTGATATTAGTTCTATAAATAAATAAAAAAAAGAAAAAGTTGATGATTTTATTTCGTTTATATTTATGATGAAACATCAATTCGTTGTAGTGATAAAAATTCTGATGCAATGTTGCATCATTTGAGAATATGCAAGAAATTTGTTGAATATAAAAATAAAAAAAAATAATTCTATTTATTAAAGATTTATTTTAAAAATAAAAAATGAAAGAATTTACAATAATCTTATATGCTGGTGGAAATAATCGTTTAACTACAGATTTATCTCTTCCAAAATCTCTTTTACCAATTGGAAATCGTCCATTAATTTGGTATACTCTTCAAGTTATTCAATCTCATTCTTCACTTGCTTCATCACCATTAATTATCTTAACATCGGGACAATATCGACAAGCTCTTGATGATTATCTTTCAACATTAAATATAACATATGAAATAGTTATTCATCGACAACATCATGATTCGACAAGTGGTGGTGAAGATCAACAACAAACATCAGATGAATTAGGTACATTAGATGTTCTTCGTTTATGTTATTCTCGTATACGAACAGAATCAATATGTCTTCTTACTTGTGATCTTTTTGGAAAAGTTAATCTTACACCATTAATTAATATGTTCAGAGTAAGAGATGCTTCATTATGTATGCTTTTACTTAAAACAACAACAACATCATCAACGACAGGAAAAGATTCATTAGTACAACCTGGACAAAAAGCAAAATTTACCGCAGGTTAGTAGACCTATACCTAAAGAACAGTTTCAAGGGAAATATTTCTTTCTTACTTTTGAATCTCATACCAATAAATCGTATATATCGATGTAGTCCAACCACTGTTAAAATCCTGATTATGCTATTATTCGTACAGATCTATTAAAACAGATATAAAGTCATACTTTTTTTTAAATAGAACCAGAATATTATACCATTGACCAATCAAGCAATACCATCACATCAATCCGATTAAAAGCTGATTTAGATGAATATCTTCCATTACGACAAAATATTCTTGCTAAGTAATATAATTAATTAGATTTTTTTTGGTTGAAAATAATTTTTTTATTTTTCTTAGATATCCTCGAACACTTATTCGAACAGATTTAGTTGATGGTCATTTATATTTAATAAAAAAATCATGTTTAGATGTTGCTAATCGTTCAACATATTCATCATTTCGAAAAGAATTTCTTCCAAAAATGATTCGTCAAATAGCTATTGATAAACCACTTGAAGATCTGATTTTTCCAGCTAATAATAGAAAACCAATGATGAGACAAAAAAGTTTGTTGAACTTCATATTTGTTTTTTTCAAAATTTTGATTTTATTATAAAAAAAACTAGCGATGGATTTGGATGATCATGGAGATTTATCAAGAATATTAGAACAATACGATTGTGATGATAATCAAATAAGAGGTGGTTGTTATTATTTCATTGATGATACACCATTATTTCGTGTGAAACATGTTCTATCATATCTCGAAGCTAATCGACAAGTAAGTTTTTCTTGAAATTGAAAAATTCTGTAGATACAATAATATTATGAATAAAGTGTTAAAAATACCATACTATATTAATCTTATGCATATCACGATTGAATTAATCAATGACGTTTGTATATGATTTTATATCTGATATCTTTCTTATTTCGAAGGCTTCATCACTCATTTCATCATATACAAATGAAGATATTACATTTAAAGATCGACTCGAACAGATTCAAGTAAAACTTGATTGATTTAAAATTGAATAAAATTTTAATTTTTTTCATTATAGATTAGTTCAGATTGTGTAATTGGTGATGGACATGATATAGGAAAGAAAACAACAATAAAACGAACTATTATTGGAAAAAATTGTCGAATTGAAGATAAATGTAAAATAATAAATTGCGTTCTTTTAGATAATATTCATGTTAAAGAAGGGTAAAAATTAAGAAAACAAAAAAAAGACAATTCTATTTTATTTATTATAGAGTAACTCTACAAAATTCTATATTATGTTCTCGTTCAACAATTGGATCAAAATGTGAAATACAAAATTCAATTGTTTGTTCAAACCAACAAGTTGAAACAAATAGTTAGTTATTCTTTTTTCATTTTCTATATTATTGAATATTTATTTTGCTTCTTTTTAAAGAAAAACTCAATTGTGAAACAGTATCAGCAATAAGCAATGAATCTACTGGCTATATGATATATGACGATGAACAATAATCGTGTAGTCTATTTTTATGGGAAAACAACTTTTCTTTTTTTTTTCTTTTAATCCGTATTCAAGAAAAAGAGAAGATAAATAAATAGAGAAATTAACGCTTATCAAATAATTACGAGTATTTAATATTCAAGGATAAAAAGAAATTTCCATGAATTGTGTAAAGTAGAACGAAAACTAGTGTAATATTGTTATGACTATTTAATTAATCATAAGAAAATCGGAAATGAAACTTGTATATTTGAATAATACGGATATCAATAATAAAACAAGTTTCTTCTGCTTTATTTTATCGGGAAGTTAAAATAAATATGATCAAAACATTGAGAGTACATAGTTTTATTTTAAAATGTTTTCGTCCATAAAAGATGATGTTAACAAAATAATATATTGATTAAAAATCAATATTGATTCAGTATCGTAAAGACATATTTTAAAATCAAAAACTATTTCATCATCAGCTGCTGTGATAATTAAAATGTTTCAATATAAGATGAACAGAATACTGTAGTTCGAGATATAGAGATATAAACTAGAGTAGATAGTTGAATGGTATTTATTCCGAAAATTTATACAGCACTTATGACAATAAGTTGCTCTTAGTTGTGCAAGGATATAGATATTATTAATTTTGATGTCACTATTTTATCATTAACTTGTATGCTCTTCTTTTTTGAATTAAGTTAGATGATAAGAAATAAAAAATAAACATGACATCATTGTGCTATCATTTTTTTGCTGTTGTTTATTATCATATAAATATTAACGTATGAAAACTACTATATACTCATTGTAAATAACGACAAGTTTTTATTTAAAAAAAATGACAAGAGTTGGACCCTTGATATGGTTTTGGTCTTTAACTATTTTACCATTTACTGCTATTCTTACATTTATTTCGACCTTGATAATATGTATTCATGTTCCAAATAATGCACCAGCCGATGAAAAATTTCCTCAAATATCTCAGCTTGGTACAGGTCAAGCTTATTATTATTTTCTTAGTGGATTTATTTTATTAGCACCTCAGTTGTTAATTATTTTATTTGGTAGAGTTCAATTACTCTTTCAAACACAATATATAATTCATCGTGCTATCATATGTATTGTTCATGTTCTTGCTCTTTTTTCTTGTGTTTTTATGCTTATTATGGCTGCTGTGAGTATTGATACTATTCCTTCGATTCATCTAACTGGTGCATTTGGAATGTTTGGACTTATTTCATTATTTTGTCTTTTACATACAATTATTATTGTTTATCTTTATCTGCGTCGATCCGATGCTCCACAACATTCGAATATTATTTGGCCAATATGGTTTCTTATTTGTAGTCTATTACTGATTGCATTTTTCGTTTATTGGCTCATAACAGCACAGGGTATTCCAGAATATATTGCTGCAGCTACACCTTTTCTTTACTTTCTTGGTTTCGTACCACAATTTTTTTATGCAAGCAAGAACAAAAAAACGAGATACTCTTTTACCTACTGTTATGAGATTCTCAAGTCAAGTGGATACATAAATGATGTTGTTAGGTTTTTTTATGAAATAATATTTTTTTATATGTAGGATTATATCTTTCTTCTTAATACTAATCATTAAAAACATTAGTTTTGTCTTTCGATATTTCTCATAGCATGCGAGTATGTTATAGCGTAGGATATTGTAATATTTTATCAACGACTAATTATCCTAACGTCGACTTTCTTTTGCCAGCTGTGACAGGAAATGACGTCGTTTATTTTTATTTTTTTTCGTCATATCACTGGTAATATATACGTTTCTTGCGATACAAAAACAAATAGAGTAAGTAATATTTGTACCAAGAATAGTAATAATAATACTACTCCACCTTCAATCTAACATTTGGCATTGAATCAAATATGAATAATTATCGAAATGTAAATATTCCATTGACTATTTATAATATGAATATTATAGATTAACAAGAGACCTGCAGGACAAATCTTTTCCTGTTTCAAATCTCGTTTGTCAGTTAACTGACGTTGATGATTTGTGTTTGAGTCCACTGACCAACTGCAGGAGATACATAACTGACGAGGAGAATGATAGCAGAGATATTTAAAAACACCTCATGGTACTTATAGATTTAAGAATTACTGAGTCTTGTCTCTCACACAGGACTTTAAGATGAATCATTTAACAATGACTCTATTTTTATGAAATTTTCATTTTCGATTCCAAAAAATGAATTGAACAAAATTTAACCTTGGTTTACAAATATACATGATATCTATTAGCATCAACAAGGTCTTTCCATAAGGAATTCTCTTGATACCCTGTACGAAAAATAGATTCTCTCATACACTAATGGTGAACAATATTTTGAAAATTCTAGATATGTAAAAGTTTTTCTCTTCACTCGTGATCGATAGGGTTAAGGTCATTTAACATCACTTTTTTATTTTTCTTATAGTAAAATAACTGTTACAGTCATTTCCTATATATCTGTATATGTTTATATTTTAGTGTTTAAAGAAAACAATCAGTTAGCTAAACACAAAATTGCATGAAATTGTTTATGTGTTTTTTATTTTCCACAGTGAGCACAGCATTTGGAATTACGAACATCTGATGCACAATTTGATTTTGACACTTCTTCATTACTTCTCATTTCTTTGGAATGATTTAACGACAGTAATTCAAGCTGCTCAGCCACGGATATCGAAGGTAAACTAACAGCATTGACTACGGTGATTATACCATTGTTGAATTTATGAATTATGGCAGCCCGTTTCTTTGCACTAAAATATAGAAGATAAATAATTCATTAACTTCTGAAAATTGTAACAATATCAAAGTTTGAGAGAATAGACATTTTCTAGAAGATCTTGTTTTACCTTTAGAAACGGCAATTCAAATCAAAATTCTCAGTTAGTTTGCTTCAATTATACACTTTGAAATTGTCTTTCGATGATCAAAGTTTATTAGATTCTTCATTCTTCTTTTAACAATACCGTTAATTGAAGATTCTCCGTTGAAGAAATTTCGTAGGAGTTTATAAGCATATATTTATGCACACACAAATAATTGATGACGAGAAGCGTCTTCACTGTTGATATTAAAGTTAACTTGTTAACGTCAACCTAAAAAACATTAGAGAATTTCATTCTGAACAATCTCTATATTCATTTCTTTTGTTTTTGTTCAATAAATAGGCATCAATGATAACATCTTTTAGTTCACCTTGAGCGTACATCTACACTGACTGTATTATTCTTATACCAGGCGTTATATGTTCAATGTCTACTACGAGTCATCCTTCATTCTTCTTTTTTTTTTTCGTTTTCATGGACGACGACGATGCATGAGAAATTTTTGTTGTACTGAGTAGTAAAAGATAGAGACAAGAATCAGGACTTACCAAGTTGAATCAATTCCTGCATTGATGAACACTGATTTTTGCTTATCAGTAATTTCTATCAAATGTCGATCAACTGGTTGTTCTGAAACATATCGTTGTTGCAGTATAGATGAAGGTACTTCTTTAATGAGAACATTTGTATTTGCCATTAGAATTTTAGAATAATAACTTCAAATCGTTGTTTTTCTATTGAACAGAAGTCTTTTCGCGTCTTTTTTTTTCTTTGCTTGTGTACGCGTAGGATCGAAAGGGCAGAATGAAGATAGACGATTCCCTCGTGATGTTGTCTAACGAGAATATAACGATAAAAAAAAAGAAAAAGAACGACAAAAAGAAAAGAAAAAAGAACGGCTGAATTGTACGTGAGGCACGCCATTTGAGTCTTTTCAAGCAAATTGCACTATCGTCACAGACTTTTATTTTTCTTCCTTTCTCCACTGCCGACGAGAAGAAAGACAGACGAACCATTGAAAGCAACAAAAAAGTCATCAGATAAAAAGTGGAAGATATATTTCATGAACGTGTTACAATTATTGAGAGTATTAAAGGACGTCGTGCGATCGATTTTTTTCCAATATTCAATTATACACAAAGCTCTACAAATCGGTCAGATAACTGTATGCTAAAACTTATAGAAATTTAAATCATATAATTACTACTTTGATGATATTATAGTTTTTTGATTAATTGTCGGGATACAGGAGCAAAATCTACATTGAATTTTAGATTCTTCTAAGCGCTTTTATAATACTAGCATAAAAACATGTCGACATACGTCCGACACTCCTTCGTCAACATTGTTAAAGAGAAACTCAACGGACATATACTATAGTTGTTAAATAAACTGCTATGACTATTGCAACTGATGATTTCATTTTATAGGCAAAAGTATATGATATAATACCTGATCATAGTTTCGATAAGTTAACTGAATAGTGAACTGTACTGAAGTTGGAGTTATATCAATGGATAAAAACTGATTTAACTTCGATGATTCATCATCATTCGCTATTCATTTTTTGAAGTTTTTTCTTTCGTAAAATTAATCTATGCATTATTTCTGTGGTTTCTGAAAAGTTCTCAAATAGAAAGTGAACTCTATATCAATAGAAAAATCAATCCGAAAAATATTTCTAAAAACTAACCTTAGATTCTGTATCCTCACTTCCGATTACCTTTAATCGATGATTTTAGCGAAGACTAAGGTTTATCCCTCTTGTTATAGCCTACGTTCTTTTCTGACTGGCTTCAGTTAACGAACGTTTGGAATTATACATTTTAAGTCGAGGATTTAAAAGGCTATATAATCCTTTCTCTCAGAAAAGAGAATTATCAATATATCTTCTTTTTAAATGGAAATATATCTGCTTGTTTTATACTACTTTGATGAGGGGTGTGGGTGTGGGTGTGAAGATGAGATAAGCATTATATCTACATCCACAAAAATCTCGTATGATTCACTTGTGTTTCGGCACGTGAACTGAGACACTCAAAATCTTAGACGAATCACTTACGATCTATTAATGTGAATTTTTTTATTAACTCGTAAAAGAATTCAAGTTAACTTGTGAACTATATAATGTAGACTTTGATGGTTTCTTTTCTAATTGCACATTGTGGATATTTCAAATAAAATGAGAGAACACTATGATAAATTAGTACCTTACGATACTGAAGATCGAACAGTCAGCAATAGCGGATTGAAGGATACTTATAATGCTTCCCTTGAGAAAATTTAGAAGATTGAATTATTTTGGTAAATCAGAGTATATATGTTTATGGATACTTTTTAAAATAGAATTTTGAAAGAAATGATACATAATAGTTCGGACGCATCCAGCCGAGAGTTAAGCGAGTCGAAGCGATGAGCGTCATTTGTCTTCAATATAGGATCAACTATTTGAATAAAACCTAAATCTTCTTGCTTTATTATATTGTTGAATATTGATTTTGTATATATACAGAATCTAATGAATTCAATTTATAGAGCTGTTCGATAAGTTAAATTTTCCATAACTTCATTCAGCGATTCATGGAATAGATAGCGACTGGGTTTTACAAAAATTTTCTTCTAATATTTTGTAAATACTCTTCAGAACCATTCTTCTTTGCTTCTATATATGCGTGTCAGTATTTCCAACACAAGTCTATATTTATCAACTGAGTATTAAAATCGATAGCTAATTCAATATAACTGTTAATTTCGTTCTTTATTTCTTATAACTTCATAGTTCTGTACAAAAATACTTACATTTACATATGTTACAGTTCAATAATAAAAAAAAAACAAACATAATATAAAAGAAAATCTAACTATTTATTTAAAGTGTTTATTCTCCAAACAATGGATCGTTTATACTTGTGTATATAATGTATTTCTGAAATGAGTTGGTTCACTAATTGGATGTATTCGATTCGTATCACTATTCTTGACTAAACTATTTCTTCGATTTGAACTTTTTGTACAACATGTTTTAGCGTCACATTCATCACTTTCACATCGAAGTAAACAATCACCAGGAATTTTCTTCTCATTATATAAAGTTTTCTGTTGTGTAATCATTGTTTGTTGATCATTTGATTTAATGTCATTATCACATTCATACTGTATTGTAACTGAATGTATATCAATTGAATGAAAAAATTTCTGAACTTTAGCAGCAACTACCATATAGTTTGATAAACTTGATCGATTTATATGCGCACTAGCAATAATTTTTTCATTTGTTAAACTCCATATATGTAATTCATGAATACCATTGATTTCAGGAATAGCTTCTAATAATTGAGATTTTATTTGATTAATTTCGAGATGTTTAGGAATACTTTGTAATAAAATATAAGTTGTATCTTTAAAAAGTGGAATACTAGAGATTGTTATAATAATAACAATAATAATTGATAAAATTGGATCAATATAAACTGTCCAATGTTTTGTATTTTCTGGTTCATGTGGAACAAACTTAATTAGTAAAGCACTAATTATAACAGCTACTGATCCAAGTGCATCACCCATTACATGTAGAAATACTCCATGCATATTCATTGATGCTTTCTTCTTTGGTTTACTCTCTTTTTCAGCATCTACTTCAATGACCGTTTTCATTTGTTCATTGCTCTCTTGTACACATTCGGTAACACCCTAAATTTAAATAAACAATGCACACAGCAATATATTCTTCTAATATAATATTGAACAAATTTTACCTCTTGTGTTACTCTTATAATATGTTTTTGGGATTTATTATGTTTTAGTAGATTTTCTTCTTCTATGTTTTCTTCGGGTTGTTTTTCAGTATGATTATGTGAATGTCCATGTGAATCTCCTTTATGTGCATGTCCATGCGAATCTGCTTTATGCGAATGCCCATGTGAATGTCCATGTGAATGTCCATGAAATCCTTGAAATAAGAAAAGACCAATAATATTAATTCCTAATCCAATTAAACCAACAAATAATAATAAATTAACATTTTCAATTGGTTCCGGTTGAATAAAACGTTTTATAGCATCGAATATAATAGTTAAACAAAGAGTGAGAAGAAAAACTGTATTAATATTTGCGCCGATAACTTCTGCACGTACCCAACCATATGTATTTGTATCTGATCGATGTCGAGAGAATCTAACAGCTACTATAGCAATAATTAATGCTATAGCATCGGATAACATATGAAATGAATCAGCAACAAGTGAAACTGAATTTGTTATATTGCCAACAACAAGTTCAATAATAAAAAATGTAAATACTAATGAAAGCATTGTTAATAATCGACAAGTTTTTGTTCCGAATAGTCGACGCATGTGATGATGAGAATGCGAAGTTAATTTATCTTCAGGTGTCATTATTATCGTAGATGTTAATGTTTAATAAAACTTTCTGTGTAAATGCATAAATATATATATATATATATATGCAGGTAACAAGGCAACCCTTAAATAACACGTCATATTTTTGAAAATTTTATACATTGATAAATAACCCGTTGATTATTACCGCAAAAAAAACAAAATTTTAATGGTTCAGAAAAAGTTACAAATATTTCTCTTCGTGAAATCGATCTTTACACATTAGGTAAAAACTTCACATTTTTTTCTATGTGTTATAATGAAAAATATATATATTTATTAAAAAAAACATACTCATTAAACTTCATTAGATACGCTGTGTGTTGATTGATTATTATCAACGAAGTCAAATTTATTGATGAACCCCTCTATGCATTTAGTTTTATATTTTTGATTACACCATTTTCACTCGTGACAAATAAGAAAACAATATATCTTGATGATAAATAGAGATTACTTATTTAATTCTTTCAATGAATTATAAGAAAATACCATCATATATAGAAAAAAAAGACAAATATTACTAACTTTTATTGCTCTTTTTTTGTTTTTAGTCGTTAACATTTATGTCCTATTGACAGTGGACAATATTCAAATTTAAGCCCAGGTATTTATTTATGCTTAGCAGAATTATGTACTACATTAATAGTTTATTCAAGTGCAGAATTATCATCATCTATAAACTTATCAATCATATCATATTCCTAGGTATCAATAGAATGAAAAAAAAGTATTTATTTACATTTTAATGAACAAAATGGAATGTTACAATTATGTATGCTTAAAGTAAAAATAATACAGTCGAGAATTGTAAATTATTGATTTTTTTTAATATTAAGATGTTCTGTTCCTAGAGATAAACTCTACTTATGGATATATAAGTATTGCAGATGTTTTAATAGAATATAATCAAATTTTTTCTATCATATCAGTACCCTTATACTCACTCAACCATTAAAAAAGCATCTCTTTCTCTTTTCTTCATATAATATTGATAAAATCAGTATTAATAGACAAATTCTGTTTAGATCTTTTACAACTGAATTACTTACAAATGTTATTGCATGTTTCACATCGTTTACTGATGTTATTGCATGTTTCACATCATTTATTGATGTTACTGGTAAATATTTAAGGAATTATTTCTTGAATTATTTACTTTATGAACCAAACATACAAAAAAAATGTCATCAAATCAAATGAATATTTATGAAGATTATCTATTTGATTGCTTTGCTGAATCAATTATGCATTTATTCAAAGAAATATTTCGTCCATTATTGTATACAATTTATGAATGGGTAGTTTATAATGAATTACGATCAGAATATTCATTAACATTTATGTGAGAAATTTATATTTAAACAAACTAGATATTCGATTATAACCGATAAATATTTTCAATTACTTATGAAGTCAAATGTTGATCATGTGATTATATTCTATAATATTTCTATTTTTTTTGTGTATATTTAAATATTTTATTTGAAAAATGTAATATCAAATAAGAATTACTCTTAACGGATACATAAGTATATATCACCATGTATTGTTAATTTAACATCTGCCACAAAAGAAGAAGCATTATAAATGCCAAATACATTACCAGATATCATTAAAAATAGGATCAGCTTCATCGACAGTTCGTCTAACAACTTGACAAATGGTAGAACTAATGAAAGGTATAGAAGAACTTTTTTATATTGCACTTTTAATTAAAAATAAATTGTGTTCTCTTCTCGTTTATCTTAAGATTCAAATGATGAAGTAGAAAAAACATGTCATCAAGTCATTGTCGATATGGAATCAGTATTAGGTGAATCATTTCAAGACTATTCGAATAGTCAAACAGTGAGTGTAACATTGTTTTCTTCGTTTTGTTTTTGTGTTTTGAAATAAAAAAAATCTGAAGAAATCCCAAGAACTCTAATGTTGGTGTGGCTCTTAAGTATTGTCAGACCTTTTGAGTTATTTATTTATTAAAATCTGATAAAGATTTAATATTTCCTTTATAGATTCAATTGAAAAACTCATAGTTCTTCGTATGCGTTTCATCAGTGATTATAAGAAAAACATAATCATCTATATTTTAAGTTTATCTTTCTCTTTCAGTTTTACAAGAAAATGAACTATTATCAATAGCACCAACGATATTATTTGAATCTTATAAAAAAAAAACAAACAAGAAAGAATAAAAAAGTATTGAAATTTTCCAAGGGCTACACATCAAGTGAAAGTCACGTAATTTATCTATGAAATGTAAACAATATTTTTTAAAGAATAGATATCTCCTTTCATTTGATGTGAATGATAAAAGCAATTAAAAATATTCTAGTTCTATGTTCGATATTTTTCAGTTTTAGTAATTCATCGAACTACCGTTTTTCTCCCTGTTATTGTTTATTTGACCGGTTTATATCGAAACACACGTATCCGTGTAACTAAGGATGTTGAGTTCATTATCCAGACTTATGTGAACGTATATTCACATTTACACCAACACTACTAAGATTCAATATCATATGATAACTTAGCATAATATAGTGATTAACTTTATCATTTAGTTATAGTTCATTTAATTATGAAAAAAAAAATTGTAATGATAAATAAAAATATTTCATATGAAAAGATATTTTCTATTACATGCGGTCAATAACAATTGTTCTGCTAAAATTACATATCAAAGAATAAATTATTGTATATGCATCAAGGTCATTAATGAAATATTATATAAGAAAATAACGCACTTTATGTTTAAATAAAAATTATTTTTTATTCAGCATGTAAACAACGTGTTTATGCTCAGTTCAATACTATCATGCTTTCATTCAATCTAGTCTGTTGTTTTTCGAATTATATTCGCAATAGAAGTGCAATGAAAGTTTTATAATCAATTAAATAAAAACAACTTGATCATATGATTCTGTTTTTGTAACAGATGTGCGTTCTTCTTTCTTCTCCTCATCGGTTTTTTTTTCTCAAAAAGAAACATATGTATGTGAGTGAAGCACAACGATTGTTAATTGCTAATCATTCAAATAGATCATATGTCAGATATGAGCGTTCTACTATTGAAGCGTTAAATAATATTTTTTATGAGTATACGTCACGCTTAAATCGACAATATGCATGATTATTGTGTAGAGTACATTTGACAAGTGAAAACAGTTAGAAGAGACAAATATTTTATTGATTGAAACTACGTATGACTGTAAATATTACAAATGAGTCCGCTTCGAAAACAATCGATTCAGGTAAGTGAATACATTTTTATTGATAAAAATAGAAAAGAATTTTATTAAATAATTAGATACGAAAATCTTACAATACTTTAAAATGAGCATCAGTATTATAAAATTTGATTTTTTTTGTTGTTAATCAGTTGAGATATAATGTATAACTAAATGTTAAAGTTTGATTTATCAAAATATTGAATATTTTTTCGAATACGAAACTATGTGTTCATATGAACTAAACAATAATAATATTGAGATTTGTAATAAATAATCATAGTACTAAATGTGTTAATCATTTCTATATTACGAATTTAATTTATGAATATTCTAAAAGGGATTTTACTAAAATAAACAGGAAATTAATTAGTATCGGACAGTATTAAAAAATCTCGTTGATCAGTTATTTAAGAATTACTAATGATATATATATATATGTTGTAGTCGAAATTCGAATATTTTTTTCATAGATAAAAGATAGTAAATGTTTGCGTGTTGATTGATTTCTTTTTCTTTTCTTCTTCTTCTGTTAACTGTAGTTATTCTGACAACTAAGAAAAATAGGTCAGAAACAAGGATAGCTATTATATACGATGAATGACTAATCCAGTTAGACAAAGTAAAGACAAAGAAAAGTCAAGTAAGGAGTTGCTGTGAAGATAAGTTGGTATATAGATAATCACACATTGTAAAAAACTAATGGAGTTGCATACAACGATCGTTCAAGGTAATGATAGTGAGAAAATGTTTTCTGCTCGACTAAATGTCATTCAAAAAGGGGTGGATGTTCACAGTTTGATCGATTGTCTTTCTTCGCATTCTCTTATCTATGAAAAAAAATATTTGAATTTTGTCTAGTCTGAATCGAAATTTGAATTTTGACTACAACAAATATATCACTTAAATATTTTTATATTGTAGAAAATATATTTAATGCAAAATCATCGTCGTTCGACAATCATTAATCCATCTCGATACATTCATGAATGGCATTGGCATGCATTTTCTGCATTGGTTTTAGTTGGATGTCTTCTCGCTTTTGTTGCTGGTTATGTTAATACTATTTGTATTGTCAGTGCATTTCGACTTCCTCTTACAGCTCTTACAGGCAGTACAGCTAAAATGGCTATTGTTTTAGCACAAGGTCATTTTGATGTAGCTTTCCATTTCATTCTATTAATTTTTTCCTTTGCTATGGGAAGTTTCATTTCGGCAGCTTTGATAGGTGGTTCGTCATTTCGAATTCAACGTCATTATGGATTGGTATTAATTTTGGAATCAATCGCTCTCGGTATTGGCAGCCTATTTCAAGTATGAAAAATATTTGATGTTTAGTTAGATCTTGTTCGTTTGTGACTTTGAGAAGATAATCTTAAGTTATTTAGTGAAGAAAATTTACATCATAATTATTACACTAAATTGACATTAGTATGAGTTTAGTAGTAATTTATACATTAATTCTTGGATTTCTCTTTCACAGATAACTTGAAAAATGATTCGTATTTTATAGGATGTTCATGTGAGTTTACATGCTGAATGGGAAGCGTTAACACCAAGTGCATATTTAATATGTCTTGGATTTGGTTTACAAAATGGCATGTGTACTACATTTTCAGGTGCTGTTATTCGTACAACACATGTAACAGGTACACTTACCGATATAGGTCTTATTATTGGACAAGCCATTTTTCATAAACGAACTCGTAAACATCTTTGGAAATTGAAAATTTTAGTACCTTTATATTTATCTTTCTGTTGTGGTGCTGTTGTTGGTTGGTTTGCTTTTGAATTATTGCATAACAAAGCAATTCTTATACCGTGCACAATTGTCGGCTGCTTAGGACTTGGACATACCGCCTATTGTAAATTTTTCTTAATCTTAATATACGTAAAATTCAAGCTAGAAATGAAGAAATATTTAAATCAACAAGATTATCTATTGTAATACCTGAAACTATTCCAGAATTAAGTATTGCATCTGATAAACATTCAAGTGATATGGATCCAAATGACAGCGAAGTTGAACACACTGCAATAGAACATTGTTTGAGCACTCAAAATTCAACGACACCATTGCTTGTAGCTGTTTATCATCCTGAAGTTATTCAAGAACAATAAATTGACTCATCTGTTTTTAATACTTAGGAATAATTTTTTTTTATTGTTTTTTTGACATATAGTTATAAATTTATTTTTTTTATTTTCTACGATTAGTATAGCTAAACATTTAGATATTAAAGAAAATATCATGTTAAATCAGAGTATAACTATATGTACACTAGCAAATGTAATTGACCAGTTAAGTCGATTCTAAAAATGAAATATAATATGAATGTATTCATAATTTCATTGCTCAGTTATAGATAATTTATAAAACTTCTTTACAACTTTGTATTCTATTTTGTTTTTGGTTGATTATTGTACGATATTATAATAAATAAAAAAGTTCGATAATTTCAACAAATATCTTTTAAATATAATAATAACGAATTTTATTTAACCACAGCATTGGGTCGAACAAAAATTTAGAGTAATTTTATGTTGAATGATAATATTATTTTAGTAAACCGATAAATTAGTTTCATCCATAAGGAGAAACTTTTTATATACTATAGAAATATTTATCTTTGCAATCTTTGAATTACTAGCGCTACCTACAGTATATAATATCAAGTGAAATTTTTCTTATTAATTTTTTCCTCTGCCGATTTTATTTAGTTTTTCAAGAGTTTTCTGCATATTTGAAGTTCTTCTATCGACCGAAGGCTATTATATGACTTTTCTATTGGTTCTCTCTCGACTATTTCAATCGACAGTTATAAAATTAAAAAAAATCAAATATTTGTCATTCCAGTCTACCTGATAGTTCTTTTATTCATTGTTTTTCTCGATAATAGTAAATGATTTTATTGACTTGTTAACATTTATCAAAACAAAAAGAAAACAGTTCACTATTTTGTTTTTAAAATTTTAGATATCATATTTTTGAACTAAAAATAAGAAATGGCTTCTACTACTGCTACTGGTGATAATGATGAAAATACTACTATATCATTTGGCTGTGATTATGCCAAAAGTAGTAATGCAAAATGTCATGGTAAGTATTGTGAAAATGAAATTAGTAAAGGAACACTTCGTCTATCTCGTTTAATACCAAATCCATTCATTCCACAATCATCAACACGTGAAGAACAATTAATGCCTGTTTATTATCATGTCCAATGTATGATAAATTATTTGCGAACAGGAAATGAAAAGAAAAAACGTATTGAAAATGTTGCAAAAAATCTTCAAGGTTTTGACGAATTAAAAAAGAAAGATCAAGAAAAATTAAAAAAACTTTTTAATTATGAAGAAAAACTTCAAGGAAATTTATCTGAAACATCAACAACTGTCCAAACAACTTATTTAGAACATGATAAAGATAAAAAATATTGGCAAATATCTTATGATAATAAATCAACTAAAACAAAATATGGTTTATTAGATGAACCAGATTCAAATGCTATTATTTTATATAAAGATTTTTCAAATAAAGCCGAAGCGAAAAAATATGCTGATAAAAAAATACAAGAAAAAATTCAAAAAAATGAATATACTCTTAAAAAACAAACAGGTGTTACAACAAATAATCAAACACCAGTAGCAACCAAACGAAAAAGAAAACAATCACCAGCACCTGCTAATACAGCCTCAACTAAACGTATAAAAAAGCAAAGAACAATAATAACAACTGCTACAAGAAAACAACCGACAAGATCCGCATCGATCAGAAAATGAAATAAACTCTGTATTATGTTGAAAATAATTTGTTTATCTGTGTCTAGATTTAAATATTTACATAACAGTGTGTACTTGTTTTATTAGATTTATATATTTGTTTTAAAACTTTATTTTATTGTTGTACTTACATATGATTATATTAGTCATAGAAATATAATAAATTAGATTATATCGTGAAATGAAATATTAATTTACATTCTTAATTATAAAGATATCTTTTGTAACGATTGATAAAACAACATTTCTCTTGGTTCTGATAAGATAGATGGTTAATTTTCTAAATTTCTAATAAAAACAAAAAGTATTATAGTAAAACCTCTCTAATGTGAATACTGTCGGAACTTTCCAAAATCGATCAGAATAACGAGGTGATCACTAAGGAGGAGATTAATGTAAAGATAGAGATTTTTCGAACTTTAAATCGTTTAGCTCTTTACTATCTATAAAGATACCTTTCGATGATCTAATCTAACTGTTGGAATCCTACAGAAACAAAGTCACCGGACTAGTTATAGAACTTAACGAATTCCAACTATCTATCTATCTATCATCGTGAGTTTTCTCGCATTATTAAAATGGTCATATTTAAACAACCAGTAACTGACGATCGAAGAAAACTGTCAGCATACGAAAAGTTCTCTCTCATTTTCTCTGTTTCTCTACCGAACAAATTATACTGATGATTAATCAAATAGATGGTGGCATGTCTATGATAGATGGGGCTTCTGTAAATGACATATTAAAGAGGATGATTCATATAGTCTGGACTACCAAAAAGTGTTCACATTCAGAATCGTGAGTTAACTAAATGGGGAGGCTAAGACTAGTAAAACTCGCGATGAAGGATCGAAGGATGTACAGTTTCATAGGTTGTTTATAAAGGAGGGATATTCAGTATCAGAGGTTTGGTTGTATATGAATCATTTATTCTGACCTTGAATGAAGGCTATATATATCATATACACAAAATTTCAATGATAATCCAACGAAAAGTAAACTCTGTATCGAGATATTTGTGTTTCTGAAAATAACTGTTCTCCTGATAATAATTAGAAATAATGCTTACAACCACAGTCCTTAAGGCTTTTTTTTTGTATATAGTTAGTTATTATGGTTATCTAAACTTCTTAACTGTTAAATTTTATTTAATTTCGCTACTTTTTCTTAACGTAATGAGTTGTTAGAGAATTCATTTAAAGCATTTGACTTATTTCTAAACAGTAGCAATTATGATACTGTGACGCTCTCGCTTACATGCGCTGACCACACGCTATTTGTCCTATCTGTTCTTACTTTAATGCATTTTAATGTACTTTGATATTACCTTTCTTTTCATTCTATTTGATAAACGAGTATATAAGCGCGTCTTTTGTATCAGAACGAGGCGATCCTTGACAATAAGAAATAAGTAAAGGCGTAGTTCTATCAGCGCATACCTCTCTTCCATCAGAAATCGTCACAGACAGTTCTTAATTTATGAACAGGTAATTGCGTTGTCAGTTGACGTGATTTGTAAGGATTTTTCAGTTAAAAAAATAACTTTGACATATTGATCTATTAAACTTCATTTAACTTTTCAATGAAAAATATTTGTTCTTTTAAACATATATTTCGCAATGTATAACACATTTTATTCATCCAGTAATTTAGAACAGTTAACATGATGATTATACAGGTAAAAAGCAAAAATAATATTTTGAAAGTTGATCCGATAGTATTTACATTTAGTAATTAAAAGTGCAGATATTATCCATTAGAGCAAACGACGGTTTATTTAATATGACTGGAAATAAAATACCTTGAATTTATCTAATAAATCCTATTCGATCAAAAGAATACATATTTACTTCTTATCAATTATATGCGTTAAGCATTAGTTTTTTTATCAGTTTCAACTTACGTGACGAATTTATATTGATGAATATACTTACCCACGATATACTTTATTACCTATACTTTCATTCTTCTTATATGATATAACAAAGTGAGAAAGAATACCACATGAAATAAAAATCGATTGAGTGTCATAGAATAAATTTCTTATCATATATCAGATTCATTATATAATCGTTGATGTCCTACTAATCTTATTGTAAATGTACTATTGATCATTATTTTATTTTAGTTGGTAAGGCAAGCACACAACATGAATATGGAAGAGTAAAAAAAATCTTAGGACATTATGAAATTAAAAGAAATGATTGAACCTGCATCTAAAAAAATTAAACCCACAATGATCATGTATATTAGAACTATTTTACTGGTTGTTAGTTATTTTCTTATGGTATGCTTTTAAAATTTGAACTAATAATTATTTATTTTTTTTGTAAGCAAATATAATTGATTATTTCATTTTTATAGGGTGTCGGTGGTGAAATAGTTGGTTCAACAATGGGTATTCTCGCACATAATACTCATGTGACATTTAATGGTATGGCTACAGCATTAGCATTACGTAGTATTGGAAGTTTATTGGGAAATGTTTTCTGCGGTATTTTTCAAAAGATTACAAAAAGCTATTCAGATTTGTTACTCACTGTGGCTTTCATTTTTCTCGGTCTAAGTATGATTAATAAAGTTTTCTATTTCTTTTTATCTTATAGACAGCAAATTTATTTCTCTGTAGTTGGAGCTATTACACCATTTATCAAATCTTTCATGCTATTGAATATTGCATTTTTTTTTCATGGTACTGCGGGAAGTTTTGCTTCTATGGGTAAATAAATAATATAATCAATATATATGTTTATTATTCTTGATAGGAGGTACAAGTCTTATATTTAAAATTTGGGGATCTCGTGCTGGTACTCCATTGAGCATGACTCATTTCGGTTATGGTTGTGGTGCTATATTTATAAATCTATTTGTTCGTCCATTTTTAAGTAACAAGAATGTGCATAGCAATTTGAATATATCTAAACAATTTAATTCTACATTATCAAGATCTGTATCTATACCAATAGATGCAGATATTCGCATTCCTTATCTGACTATTGGTGTTTTATGTTTTATAATTTGTATCGGACATTTTATATTTTTCATTCAAGAACAAAAAGATAAACGAAACAAAACTGAAATACAACAAGTAAGTCTAGTCATTGTAAAATACAAAATACTCTTCGATGATTCTATGAAAATCTTAACTTATAACTCATAGTATTTTTTTCAATTAATTCGTATATTCTGTAAAAATGGTTAAAATCATTTAGGTAAACTATACACCTGTAACTACAATTTCTTCAAAAACTGAAACGCAATATGATAAAACCAAAGTATCTCAATATTCTCCAGTCATTTGTGGTCATGGTTATTTTGGATATGGTTTAAGTCTATCATTAGTTTTTATCGTCTATATGTTTTTTCTTCTTGGAACTGAACAAACATTTGCAAAATTTTATTTTTCTTATTTGAAATTTGATAAATTTCATATTTCAACTGATGCTGCTAGTTGGGCTACTATTCTTTTTTGGATTTCATTTTCAGTATGCATCTTTGTTTTTTCTTTACTATATTTTTTGTATTCATATATCTATTTAGAGTGGTCGTTTAATTGGGGCTATTGCATGCATATTTATTCCAGTTTCTATATGTCTAAGTGGACTTTGGTGTGGAGGTTTACTTCTTGCTATAATGTGGATAACTTATGTTTGGATCCTTGGTCTTACTACAACAAGTCTTTTCGTTCTTGGTTCTTTCACTGGATTGATTATTGGACCACTTCTTCCATTATCATTTGCTTGGGTTAATCAAAAACTTAATGTAATTCCATCACTTCTTGCAGCATTGCTTTTTGGATCTGGTGTAGGATCATTGACATTACAAAAGATTGGCGGTAGGTTTATATAATTAAAATATCTTATAGTAGAAATAAATCAATATAACTATTATCATTTAGAGATATTTCTTGATATAATCATTTTATTTTACAACATGAGAAGCATAGCATAATTTACTTGTTTTTTCTTTATATTTTCTAGTTTTTTTTATTTAAAAAAATAATAATATGTTTTAGGTTTCATAATGGATTATGATCCAAATCATTTTCCAACTATTATTATAACTTGTATTATTTTAACTATAATGTTATATATGGTTTCAAATATTATTATATTCGTACATCAACGAAACTTAAAGAATCTGAAGCATCCAGTTAATAATGATGCATCCTTAACAATTGATAAAGTCGATGAAGAAGAAAAACAACAAACGACTGACTTATTACAAGCTGTTAGTGAAATATAATAAAATTTGTTTTGCTATTAGAGCTGTCATCTACCATTACTGGTAGTAAATCATAATTTTTGCAAAGTAATAAAAATAATAAGAGTGAGAAGTAATAAAAAATAACTAACATTACATATACATAATAAAGTAATAACGATACAGAAAGTAATTAAGTAATACACATATAAGATTGTAAAAATACTTTTAATTATCAGTTGGATTTGCGCTATCGCACAAATGCCATAATGCTACTCAATTCCTATTGTATGAAATATTTTTGATGGCAAAAATGACTAGTATATGATGCAAGTAGTACTTATATAGTTTTCTTATTAGTCGAATAAAGTAAGGGTGTGGGTGGTTGTGGATGTGAGTGTCGATGTATTTTCTCTTTTCACACCCACCCACACCCTCATATTGCTAAAATACCATGAACAGTATGAATATATATTTTAATTTATGTTTTTCAATATGCACGTATCTATTATTAAATTTTATAAATAGTAGTTTTTTTGTTTTTTTATACTTTGTGATTAATTTCGAAATAAATTATGTAATGAGACATATAATTATCATTATTTATATATATATTATATTCCATAGAAAAATGTGTCACAATAACTTATTAGGAGAAAAGTTTCTTAGTTTTAATTAAAATCTCCTGGTTTTCTTTCCGATGAACTCCTGATTTTCTAATTTTAGATTCGGCAGTCCTGGAAGAGGCGTATGTGCTGATGATACTACGCTTTTATTTATTTCTTCCTCTCAATAATCACATTGCTCTAATACAAAACATACGTTTATACATTCGTCCATCAATAGAAAAAAAGGAAGGATAATACCAAAGTATATCAAAATGTATCGAAGTAAAAACAAATAGCATGTGCATAGCGCATGTCAGCGAGAGCGTCACCTTGTTATCATACAATCGTTTCGTTTTATATAAACAAAATTGATGACGTTTTGATTAATAGATAATTCAATCCATGTATGCGCAATATTGTTTTGAAAACATCAAGTAGCGAATTTATCCTTCAATCTATCATTACGTGTCACTATCATCTATTTTCTCTTTCTTTTTTGGACTAATCATCTATATGTGAAATTAATGTCCATAATATTTTGATTGAATATGTTTATGTGCTATTCTTTTAAATATTTATTTTCTTATAAGAAAACAATGGATAATAATAAGTATTTTAGAACTATAGCTATTCGCATCTAACATTTTAGATGATTCGCTGTTTATCCAGTTGTCACGGTTAAAGATTAATATAGACGAAATCTTGAATGTAATAGTCGAATAATCTTTCAATTCTATCATACATATTATTTGTGACAAGTCAAGAACGATACATTTTCAAAGCGTATATTTTTTATTATAAATAAAAAAATAGATAGGACTGAAGTAACTTGTATATTTGAAAATATTAGAGAAGAAACCTAGGGAGTGAACAATGTTTGTTAGTATTGATAATGATTAATAATAACGTTCGATTGTTTGTGTGATCGTACGATTTTAACATATATTCTACGAAGAAAAACAAATATTATTCGATTACCATCAAACATCACTTTTTTTAAATAGCATACCAGATTTTATTTGGTACTCAGGACCAACGACAATATTTTTTAACACCATCATAAAGACCTGATTTACACTTAGCAACAGTAGTGTAGACTTTACCATTAATAGTTTGAGGTTTTGTAGCATCTGTACCATCAGGAAGACAACAACCGATAGTAATAGGGTAAGTATTTGCATGACGACGATCAGGATCATAACAAGGATAGTTACCACCAATAGCACAATTATTATCAAAATCATAACAAGAGAAACCGTCAAAATAACAAACATCGGCGATACGATAACATCGACCATTAGTACACGTCCCATAACAGCAATCAAGACCACCAGCAGTACAAACTTCACCACTAGCAACACAAATAGGACAACTACGTGGGCCATTATTACCACCACAAACACCACCATTTAACGGAACAGTCATATCATCTTTGTCATAAGATTGCTGAAGAGCGTCAGCATAAGACATGTTACCATAACGACAAGTACAACCAGGACAACAGTCAGAATCTTCGTCACAAGAAGCAGTATCAAAAACACAGTAACGCTGATAAGCCGTTGCTTGTTGTATATATATTGTTGCCAGTAAAATCAAGAAAGTGATGAAGTAGACCATTTTGCTGATTTTTTGCATTGTCTGTTGCGTTATGACTCGACTTTTGAAATTTAGTGTAATAGGTTAATATGAATGAGTGAGTATGTGAATGGTACGATTCTGCACATATATTCTGCCTATTTATACACACCGATCGTTGAGATAGGAAACAATTACAAACAAAAAACAATTTTTACAGGTGAAGAGAAAGAGATAGACTCAGTATTTTTCTCATTGAGACAGAAAAAAAATCAAAACATATTTTTTTTTTATTTCTAAGGTGTGTGGGTAATTATTCGCCTTCATTGTGTTTTCATGAAACAAAGAAAATTCTTATCTGTACTGCATATAAGCATCAGAATTATATTTTTATCTAATATTCATTACCAATATAGTTATGTATGTGTATGGGCAGCAATTTTGATAAGGTAATAGCATTTTTACAGCAGCATAAAACATTGTTAAAAAGGATTTAAATGCTAATAGGGATATTGACTTACAATTTTTTTAATACAATTATCTATTTAAATTTTCATTTTATTTATTTTATTCTGTTCTAAAAACGCTCTTGATCTAATCTAAAAATAGGTAAATAAATGAATTCTAATAATTTATTTTAATAACAAAAATTTCATTAATTATTTATTATTGTATTAATAACCTTTATATATTTATCTATCACTTTAATCGATTTACTATTTATGTCATAAAAAATCCACAATTTCGTTTATTAGTTTGTTTGTTTTTTTGCTTTATAATTGTTCTATTTTCATTATAGACAGAAATACTTAATGTATGATTATACCAATTTTAAATTGATCAGTATTTTTTACTAGATTCATTGCTTCTTCAAAATTATTATAATAAAGAGAAGCATATATAAATAAATAAAATAATAATTGATTAGATTATTTTAATAAAAGAATATTATTATATTCATTTATATTGGAAATAAAACGTCCGGGAATCTATTTCATTGCTTCACAATCAATAAATAAATGACGTAAATATTGTTCAGTAATATTTTCTGATATTTTTTTGACCAAGAATATTCCATGTTTGATTGATAATTGCTTGTTGATTATTTGTATATTCAACATAACAATGATATCTAAAAGATATTCGATGAATAGGTCGTTTTCGATTATATTCTGCTTGTCAATGTGTCTGATAATAAATAGAATTAAGATATAAAGGTATTTAACTTTGTTTTAATATGATTTTTTTTATAACCAATAAAATGTTGACGAACATCATTTTGAGTTATTTCATCTTTCTTTTTAATATTATCGATAAAATTTGATTTTTCAATGATAATGAAGAAGTATTTAAATAACAATATTATGTTTTTTTAATTATTAAAACAACTTACTAGAATTATTTCATTATTATTCGCATGTTTATCAGTAATGTCTTCTAAAGAAAATGTACAAGAATTTTCTACAGTTTTTTTTTATTGTTTCTTCGTGTTAATCAATAGTTTCGAATTGATCTGATGTTTGTCAAAATTGTATTATTTCTAGAGAAAAAAATATTCTTATGATTTTCCAGGTTGAACATTCGGATAGCAGGATTGTATAAGAATTGTATGTCCGATCATATCTGATCTAATGAAATCTTACAAGGATCATACAAAAAATCGTGATCTCTGATTTCGTGCACTAAATTGTACTAAAAATCTTTGTAAGATGTTGTTATACCATAGAATGTCACCAAAATATCTCATCGAAATCTCACTTGAGATTTGTACTGAAAAAAATAGTGTATGTAAAATCTTGAGGGTGTGGCTATTCCTATGTTATCTACACTTAAACCCTTAAAGATGATGAAAATGATTGTTTAATTAATTGCTGAATATTCAATTTCTGAATTTTTGAGACAAATAATAAATTAGTAAATAATTTGAAGTTTTACTGTGAAGTAAGTACAATAGCGTTAATGTATGTAAATAGATCAACTCCCGTTTCTAGACCCTCTTCTTACAGTCTAGGAAATATTCTTTTTTTATCTTTTCATGTAAATAAAATGAAATATCTTCAGATTAGAAAATAAAAGCAGCAACTTATTAATTCATCGACCAACCAAATATCTTTATCGTTTTCAGTTCTTTCTTACTCTATTGAATAGATTTCTTCTTTATATAACATAGACACTATACTCTTTATTATAATAACATAAATAATAATATTGAAATGTTCTCTCCTTAAGTATGGTATTTACACATGTATGTACTGATAATCCATTTGATATGCTTAAGATTTTCTTTATACAACTAAATACCATGATAATTAAGAGATACTGGAAACTATCATATTTTCAAAGCTTATTTATAATATAAAATGACTTCTAAACAGTTTTGAATCTTAAAAGTATTTTTTCGTATATGTCTGCAAGAACAAACAAAATTTAGAAGATTCGAAGGAAAAGTCTTTTGTTGATTTAACTCGAACGAATTTTTTATAATATGAAAGTGTTTCTGAATGTTTGTCTCTCTTCTTACACATCTAATCGATACTGCTGTAAAATTATAGCTTTATATGGATAATCAATTTCAGTGAATTTAAGCTTGTCAGATCTAAAAAAACAGTTTTTTTAATACCATTTATAAGTGTATCGGAATCTCAAATATGAATCAAAATTTGAGATTAATTCTGGTTGTTGTCTTCAACATTGATACACGCGTGAAAAAGTACGATGGGTAAAATAAGAATCATTCGCTTGTTTATCAAACCATTTTTGTCATTTTGTTATTATATGAGGTGAACCACGCGAAAGAAAACGTGTTTTATATCGTATATATACTCCAAAGACGAATCTTGTTTTTATACGTAGCTTATACTATATAATAACAGAATGACAAAATTGACTCACTCAATAGTTAAATGACTGTTTTCTGTCCATTTCTGAAGAGACAAATATTTTCTATTGCAATTAATTGGATATTTATTCGTATATCATAAGGTGTCGCGCATTTACAAAGTCAATCATCAATATTTCTCTCGTATATTATTATTTGTTGACAAAAAAAACAGCTATTTTTCATTCATTGAAGTATGATAGACCCTGATTCATACTTTGTTATATCGAATATTTATATAATTAAGTCAGATATTGTAATATTTATTATGTTTCAGACTATTAAACTCAAAATCTATTATTGTCTGAATATAGTTAATACATGGCAACAGGAACAGCAACTGGTAAAGCACGATGCAGTATATGTGAAAAAGAGAAAGCACACTAAGATGTGAAGGTTGTTCACAAGCATTTTGTTATGAGCATGTTGCTGATCATCGTCAACAATTGAGTAATCAATTTGATGGAATTGAAATTAATCGTGATGTCTTACGACTAATACTTACAGATCAAATACGAGAAGCAGAAAAATATCCATTAATACAACAAATTGATAAATGGGAACATGATTCAATTAATATAATTAAACGTACAGCAGAAGAGGCAAAACAACAATTAATAAAACTTACTGCTACACATTTTACTGACATTGAAGTTAAATTAAACAAATTGACTAATCAATTACGAGAAAGTCGACGAGAAGATGATTTTGTTGAAACAGATCTTTATCAGTGGAATGATGAATTAAAAAAACTAAAAGAACAACTTGATAAACCACCAAATATCGTAGTTAGACAAGATGCGATACCATTTGTCAATAAACTCTGTATTGGTATATCAGGTAAATATTCAAGTTAGATTTTAATTGAGAAGAATAATTTAATTTTCATAGAAGATTGATATATTTATATCGAATTAATAAGATTGACTATCAAATAATCATACTAAATTACGATAAAGTCAAATTAACGAATATATCTTATGCTAAAGTTAGTGCACAAATTGAAGGAAAATTTTTGAAACTTCGAACATAATATTTATTCCTTATATAGTTACGATTTTTCTATCATGTTCATTGAAATAGTTTCTTTAATAATCGATCAAGAATTGTTCTGTAAATTTTGAGAATATAAAAGAAATGTGAATTGTTTTAAAAACAGAAGAATATGTATAAAATTCTGAACAAAAGTAGATCAGTCTGTTATATATTTTAAATGCTAAATTAGATTACAATCGTGAAAAAAATACAATTTTTAGTCTAAGAAAAACCTCTTCAAATTGAAGACCTTTGCTGATTGTTTTATAGATGAGTAAAATGATTAGGATTTCTTAATACTATATAAAATAACCTAATTCACTCAATTATTTTATCAAATTCTAAACAACTAAACTTTTTACATGCCAATAAAATGATTATTTTTTATTCAGAAAATGTTAAGATCTGTTAGAAATAAATAAGTATAATCAATAATTATTAATTACAGAAACAGGTATTCTATTACAGCACAACTATACATTCCAACTATTGATATTAACACAAAATGGATACGAAATGGTGTTGTAGTATGTGGAGGAAATGGATCCGGCACTAGATTTGATCAATTAGATGGACCATACAGTTTATTCATTGATGATGATGATAATGAATGTATGTATATTGCTGACCACGATAACCATCGTATTGTCAAATGGAAAAATGGTTCAGCAGGTGGCCAAGTTGTTGCTGGTGGAAATAAACAAGGAGATAGACATAATCAACTATCAAATCCAAAAGATGTCATTATTGATAAAGAAACTGATTCTCTTATTATTTGCGACTATGGAAACAAACGGGTAGTTCAATGGCCTCTTCAAGATGGTACTCGTGGAAAAATAATTATCTCAGATATTGCATGTTATGGAATAGTAATGGATAATAATGGACATATCTATGTTTCTGATTATATTAAACATGAAGTGAAACGATGGAAAATGGGAGAAACAGAGGGAATAGTAGTAGCAGGTGGAAATGGAGAAGGAAATCGTCTTGATCAGCTAAACAATCCTACCTATATTTTTGTTGATAAAGATCAGTCTGTGTATGTATCTGACGAGAGCAACCATCGTGTTATGAAATGGATGAAAGATGCTAAACAAGGTATCGTTGTTGCTGGTAATCATGGACGAGGAAATAAACTAAAACAATTGTCCAATCCAAGTGGTGTAGTTGTCGATCAGTCAGGTACTGTGTACGTAGCTGACTATAAAAATGATAGAATAATGCGTTGGTTTAAAGAAACTCCGCTAGGTGATATCGTTGTTGGTGGAAGAGGATGGGGAAACACAGCAAATCAATTCAACGGCCCTCGAAAACTATTATTTGATCGACAAGGAAATCTCTATGTTGTTGATTATTGGAACAATCGAGTGCAAAAATTCTATATTTTTTCAAATACCAATATCTAAATGTTCAGAATTTAATTACTATAGACGATTATTTTTGTCATTCGGTATTTCGTAATTTAGTACATTATATTTAATAAATAGTTTATCTCTGTTCAATAAAAGTGAGTTTGGTACAGCGTAAACTCGAAATTTCGAGTTTTTGTGTCGAGCCTACGTTTTTTTGACATGTTATCTATACCATTGCTTCACATTGTTCATGTGTAATTTTTCGCCATTCTTAACTAATAAATTCAACGAATAAGTCAAGATTATTATAATTATTACTTTTAATAATTTTCGCTATATCAATAAAGTTGTTTAACCTATGCCAAGATCTTTGTTATTTTAAATAAGTTATCGAAGTATATTATTTCTTTGATCTTAGAAATATATTAATGCTGTGTACTCACTACGCATGAGTGAATTTGAATATATATGAAATATACAAAAGAGGAATTTCGATAAGCGATGAAATCGGCTCCCAGGAAAATTTAGCTGGGTTCAAAAATTATGTGATCGAGAATACCACAGCAAAATTTTGCAAGGGGCCGATTTCATCGTCTATCAAGACCCCTCTTTTATACACTACATACTTTGAACAAGACGATATTCTCTATGCTTATAAATTTTGAAATTCTCAAAAAAAAGTTACACTTATATGAATAAAAATCTTTAGAAAGTGCTAATATTCTCGAAAAGGATGATCACTCTATGAATACAATACATGAAAACTGAAAGTTACACCGATTTAATAATGAGAAAATTAGAAATATTGCTACGTGGTGCTGTCTGAATTTCTTTCTTAGATGATTCATATCTTTTCTATTTCTTTTTGCATTGCATCAGTAAATATACATAAGACAGCTCTTGATAAGAGATAATAGCATTGAATAGATAATAACATAACAGATGTGATGTTCATGGTACATCAAATATATATTTCTATTGATATACCTTAGCATATCGAATAGAGATATAGCAATCACACTGAAATATCCTATCATCATAGAAAAAATCGTGAGTTTTCACAACGATTATCACTCATTGATGTGAGCAGATGTGGATGTAAATGAACACACTGTCTGGGTATGGGTATGGGTATGAGGTGATGTCAATATTCGCACCTGACTCTTTCAGCTCTTTGAAATGTTATGAAAATTAATAGCTGTTTTTATCGATTTGAAATTTATTTATAATCTCAGCTCTACTCATTTGTTATGAGGTAGTGTACAGTATACTATTACTTCATTTGACTAAAGCTTTTGATCCATGAATAACTAAAACTAGAATGAACGAATCCAAGAATATTAGTCTTGATGCATACGTATTAGAAATTACACTTCTAAGCTGATACTATAAGAACTTATGCGAAATGCTAACATGGATATTAATGAATCAGAAAACGACTTTTATTATCAATGACAACTTTTCTTTCTTAACAAAACAAATTTGGCATGAGTGATCTTTCACGAAGTAACAATCTTCAAAATCAGATACTTTTGACAAACATTATACACATTTAAAAGAACGAGATATAAATATTGCATATTAACAAACGATATAGATGTGGAAAAGAATAAGAAATATTACAAAGTCTCTATATTGCATAAACATCATTCAACAGTTACAGAGAAATAGACATACGATAGATGAATGAATTAGTTTATTGGCATATACAATATCTTTGCCTTTTACTATTTGATATGATTAGTGTGTCATGGTAATCACAATAGATTGTTTCATATGCACTTTGAGCAGCATCATCGAAATTATTGTCCTTTGTATATTCTTTCTCAAGGTCGTAAAAGATAATTAAAGAACACAAATCAACGTGATCTAAAAATATAATAGTACTGAGGTCGGACAATCCGGCCCAGAAACGGTATGTTCCCTACGGGTTTCAGCCGGAAATTCAGGAAATACTGCTTCAAGAATCATCGTCCCGAGTATTCATATTAATTTAATCACTTTGTTTGAACAAAACATATATACCTTGCATTTGTTTCATTGGCTTTTCTCTAATCAATGAACGACACAGGAATGCTTTAATTTTTGTGCGTACGAGAACTACAAAATCCAAATCATATAAACAATTTACGTCACGTTACAATGATTAAGCATTTACTAGGAAGATTATAAAAAATAATATTTTCTTCATATTTAACTGCATTTTTTCTGATGGATATAGACCATAAATTGATGATACGAAAAGATCTATTGATACAAGTTGCTTGTGTTGGAAGCGCACACATAATCTATCACCAATTACTTTTGAATATCCAGTACCATAGAAAATCTAAAACACACTCTACCTATATAGCTTTACAAACTTCATTACAACAGAAACAAGTTTTGCGTCTTTTATTTGAGAATAAAAGAAAAGTGATATTTACTGCAAACAAAAGGGAAAACTTAATTTATGTGAATTATCAAATGATGATTATGATATATTAAGTAGTTTAATGAAAATATTTGAATCCTTTTATCACGCCATAAATTTGCTTAGTGATTCTAAATATCCAACGATTGGTATATGCCTTTACGTTACACGAAAAATGAAAGATTATCTTGAAGATGAAGATGGTAACAAACAATCATCGATTTGAATTTGTTCGAAAACATTTATTTTTCAATCATTTATTCATTATTTTAATGAAACTGGTCAACAATATTGTCTTTTAACGGTAAGTCGGCCTGTATGACGAATAAAATAATGAAAGACTTCTGTACCATGATACTAGCTTTGAAAACATATATTTGCTGTTCAGATGCCAGCAGTAGAAGAAGAGCATCAGAAAGATCATTGCAATTTAAAATAATTTTCAAGTCGATTTTTAAGAAAATTGAATTTTCTATAAATGATAAAAGCTAAGTTACCTTTAGTAGGCAAAGATACAGTCTTGATGTCATATGATATTCTTTTACCTGATCTATAAGAGTAATTGATTGCTTAATAAGATACTTATCTGAGTATTCCATATAAAAAACTGTACACTAACAGAGGAAAATAAAATAACCTAGATAAACTGTAGTACACATCATTCTTTTTTAAAGCTTGCATACTGTACATATGGAAGAACACTCAAAACAAATCACAGAAAACTATTATTCAATATATATTAGCATCTTGCTTGTTTTATTTTATTTAGCTATATGGATATTTTGATCCATTTGGTTATTCTGTACTTACATCAAAAGAACGTACAAAAACTGAACGATAATTAAAACAAAAATATAAAAAAAAACTTCTATTACCTACGACTATACCGTTTTCACACACATCGTCATCTATATTAAAAGAATCTTGCTTATCAGCAACTGAAAATGGACATATAGTTACAAAACAAAATGATCAAAAATATGTCGTTTAGAGATGTTTATAAAGTGTGTTAGTAGACCTATATCGTCCGAAAAATATAATCCCCTAAAGCTATGTCGGAAGAAATATCGTGCTATGGATCTTTATTGCAAAAATCTTCACTAATGGATGCTATTACATTTTGGTAAACTCACAGTAATCAGATGCTCATGTTAAAAGCCATGGCTAAATAATACCTACCAATTTCAGGCACAAGTATAGCATCTGAATCGGCATTTAGTAGCTCGGCTTACATTGGAAGAAAAGAGCGTGCACAATTTTGTCTAGAAAATCTCAATTATACGGTGTTTTTACAAGATAAATTACAAAATCTTTAATAATTTGTTCGTTTACATACCTTCATGTTTATTGAGGGTGTGGGTGGGTGGTATTAGTATCAACAGTTCTTACTTTATAACACTATCTCATATATATATATATATATATTTTCTTTTTTTCTTTCCTTTTCCTACAGTCCTTTGTAGTGATTGCATACATATTTTCTGTCTTGATTACCATGTTCTCATGAAGATCTTCACCTATTATTTATTTTGTTTCATTTCTTTCTCTGTTACATCATGTTATTATCTTTGTTTTGTTTCTGTTTCTCTCTATGTCTTTGTTATACATAAAGAGTTGTTTTTCTTCATTTTAATCAGTGTTTCTCGTTTCCCTATTTTTGTCCTTGTTTAACCTCAATAAACATGGTTATCTTCATCTTCTTCTATTATTACTGGACACGGTAGACTTGATTTTTCATAGAGAGATTTCTGCACACTAATCGATCCAAAACATTTCGATTTAACATTACAACTATATTGTAGGTTGAAGTTTACATACACATCCTCATAAGGTTATTCACTATTCACTTACACTGTCATTATTAGATCCTGAAAGATTCAAAACTACCTTGATTATTCGTTATTTATTTATCCATTATCTATTTATTCATTGAGTATGTCACCTGTTAATTTTTTTCCGCCCAATGAGTTAAACCGTCGATGGATCCCGGCTGGCAATTGTTATATTAAATAAATTCTTCAAGCAAATCAATATCCAAGACAAGCCGAAAAACAACAAATGATGGTCGATACCGGAATACTTTCGCGTTCTGTCGTATACGTAAGTGCAAAAAAAGGTAATATAACACAAGTATTTGTTTGCACTAGTCACATATCTAAATTTCCATTTTTATGCTCTCATCACCTTAAGAAATATATCATTATGCTCATTTTCTTAGTTTATGCAATATTATTACAGGTAAGTAACTTGTTATTATAATAATTCTGTCTTTAGGTTTATATTTCGCCAAATGGTTATCCTGTCTGATAACAGAAAAAGATCGTTTACCAGTACATTATGCCATATTAACTTTATATGGTAATAGTCAAAATTAATCCGTCGTTCAGCATCAAATTAATGAAACATGCAGAAAATACAAGACACGCTACATATCAATACTCAAGCACCATGTGGTTCTACGAACGAAGGAAGAAGAACTCCCAGTATTATCGTCAGGAAGAGGAAGCATGCAAGGTAAAAAACATTCCTCTATAAGTTATCTTTTATTTATTTGTGTTTCTTTTAGGCTCACACCTATGCGACACAAAGGGCTGTATATCAAAAGAACACATTGTATTAGAGTCGATGGAAACGAACATCAGCAGAAAGGATTGTGGGGGTATATTACTAACAATAATTCCAGCATCAGCATCATCACCACCACAGCCACATATTTTTAGGGCTACACTATGTCGACACGGCGTAAATTACAAGAACTTGAATGGTGATGATTTTATGTACAGTTGTAGAAAAGTTAAATGTGTTTTTCTTGATGAATTTTCTGTTGCTTTTTTAAATAAACAAAAATAAAATATTATTATATTGTTTTCATATAGAACATAATAGAATCAGCTATTTCTGATTACGTAATTTGAGAATTTATTCTAAAAACTAAAATAACGAGCAAACAAAACAAAGGTCTTCAGTTTTCACGACGTTTTGGTTGCGACAGAAGCAGTCCCTCTTCAGATTTTGCATTTTATCTCATAGTGGAACATCATAGAAGTGATTTCGCATGATACAAAAAGGTGTTGCAGAGAATGATATACTTACAATCTATTAGAGTACCTTGCTTGATATCTGCTGTTATATCAGAAGGTGTCACGTCTTGATGTTCAATAAAATACGAGATATGGATGAGTATATTTATTGAAAGAAAGAAGAGAGAAAACAACGAATAGGGAGAACGGAAAATGGAAGATAGATATGAAGATGGATATATAACACATACATATAACGACAGCTATATATATGTGTATGTGTTGGATAAAACCATAAGAGAAAGGGAAAACACCATGACACACATGACAGAACATATGGATAATTCCACTATCATACTATACTATATGATATGGAATATTCCACTATCTCACACCTCCGTTTTAAATTTCATTGATCAGGCGTTTGACTGGTTTCCTGTCTCTTGATGAACGTCGAAGTTGTGGTTGTTGATGTATATGTTGTTGTTGAGGTTGTTGATTTGGTTGAGAATCAGGAGAAACAGGAGTTTGATCTATTTCAATTAAAACATCATCGTCGTTGTTGTTCCAATAACGAAGTTGAATTTGATTCTCATGTCGTTTCCATTGTTGTTGATCTACTTGTACATTCCAAAGTCGATTTCCAATCGGATTGATAAGTATACCAGGAGTCCATTTGACATTGGTTGTTGCATTGCGAAAATCACGAACAATAACTTTATCACCAACATTAAATTCACGTTCTTTAGTATGACGATCAAAATTGTGTTTATAACGTTCTTGAGCAGCACTTAATGCATCTTTTGCAGTAGGTCGAATAAGATCAAGAACAGTTCGTAATTGTCGTTTCATGAATAATTCAGCTGGAGATACATTAGTTGTAGCATGAGGTGTTGATCTGTAAGAAAACAAAAACTTGATTAAAACTTGTTTTAAATCACCACCACCACCACTAATGCCTTTTTTTATAGCTGATTTAACTGTATCAACATATCTTTCTGCTTGACCATTGGATTGTGGATGTCCAGGTGATGTTCGAAGATGTCGTATACCATGACGAGCACAAAAATCACTAAATTCTGTGGAAGTAAATTGAGTACCATTGTCTGAAACAATTTCCTCGCATAAACCGTAACGAGAAAAAAGTGAATATAAAGTTTCAATAGTTGCAGTAGTTGTAATGTGATCCATTATTGCTACTTCTAACCATTTAGAATGTGCGTCGACAATAATTAAGAAAAATTTGTTGAAAAATCTTCCCATGTAATCTATATGTATCCGTTGCCAAGGAAGTTCAGGAACTGGCCATTGGTTTAACGGACTTTTTGCAGGTTGCTTTGAGTTTAAAGAACAACTTTCACACTGCTTTGCAACATTTTCAATTTCTTTATCTAATGATGGCCACCAGAAATAACGTCGTGCTTCCGATTTCATTCGACCACACCCAGCATGTGTTGAATGTAAATGATCAAGAAGTTGTTTTCTATAACAATGTGGAATAATTGTACGTAGACCCCAAGTGATACATCCTTGTGATGTAGATAATTCATTTCGAATACGAAAATATGATTGTAGATTATCTGGAGTTGTACTAGGCCATCCTGAAAGTATATATGTATATACTTGATAAAGTAAAATGTCTTGTCGTGTTGCACGAGCAATTTGCGATGCACGTAAAGGTAATTCTTCTTGCAATTCCATTTGAATTGATGCAATTGTACGAGAATCTGTTGGGTCTTCATCATCAAATTGCTTGTCAGGACCAACAGGTAAACGTGATAAACCATCCGCTTGACCAAAGTTAGTAGTTGACCTATATTCAATAATATAATTGTAGCCCATTAACTTTAATGCCCAACGTTGTAACCTATTTGCAGACGTTGTAGGAATGCCCTTCTTTGGTCCAAATATAGTTAACAATGGCTTGTGATCGGTTAATAATGTAAATGATCGACCACGAATAAACTGATCAAATTTTTGTACACCATACACCAGTGCCAAAGCTTCCTTTTCTATTTGTGCATAGTTCTTTTCCGTTGGTGTTAATGTCTTTGAAGCGTGTGCAATCGCTTTCTCTGTACCATCAGAGAATCGATGATAAATCACTGCACCAACTCCAGTGTTGGATGCATCAGCAGCCAGAACCAGAGGAATTTTCGGATCATAATGTGTTAATCCTAAGGGACCAGTGAGACTTTGTTTTATTGCTGTAAATGCTTGAGTACATGTTGAATTCCAGTCCCATTTAGCATTTTTCTTTAATAGTAAGTAGAATGGAGCCAGACGATCAGTTAAATTCGGGATGAATTTTGCGTAGTGATTTACCATTCCAAGATAAGAACGTAATTGTGAAATGTTCGTTGGATATGGCATTTCAACAATCGCCTTCGTTTTTGATGGTGATGTATGTACTCCATTTTTATCTACTATAAAACCAAGATATTCAACACTGTCTTGTAAAAATGAACATTTTGACTTGTTGATGTGAAAACCAAAATCTTTGATCTTTTCCAACACCTTGTCCAAATTGTCTAAATGTTCCATTTTGTTTACACCTGTAACTATAATGTCATCCAGATAACATACGGTTCCTTGGAGACCTGCCAACATTTGGTCCATTATCTTCTGGAAGATGCTAGGAGCTGAAGCTACACCAAAAGGTAGACGATTGTACCGAAATAAACCCTTATGAGTATTTATCACCAAGAGTTCTTTGCTTTCGTCGTCTAACGCTACTTGTAAATATGCTTCCGAAAAATCAATTTTGCTAAATTGTTGACCACCATTAAGAGCTACAAAAAGATCGTTAGGCTTTGGAAGTGGATATTGATCAATTTCAAGTGATTGATTAACACCAGTACTCAAATCCGCACATAAACGAACTTTTCCACCTGGTTTGGGTACCACCACCACTGGAGCAGCCCATTTCGAGACATCAACAGGTTCAATAATACCTGTGTTGATAAGTCTATTTAAATCTTGTTCGACAGCTTCACGATAAGCAAATGGAAGTGACCTAGGTTTACAAAATTTCGGTATTGAATCCGGTTTGACATGTAAATGTGCCTTAATTTTGCAACACCCTAAACCTTCCTGGAAAATTTCTGAATGACGAGCCATCAGTTCGTTCAAACCTTCTGGTCCAAAATTTACGTTTAATGTTGAACCATTTGAATCAATGTCATTCAATGTTCTTGTATGAAGATTTAATGCATAAATCCAATCTCTACCAAGAATATTATTTCCATAACCATTTACTACATGCATCTTTAATTGCATTGATTTATCCATGTATTCCACCTTGACCATTCTCTCACCTTTTAATGTAATTCGATGTCCAGTAAAACTATTTATGTTCATTTTAATTTGGTTCAAATTTGGCTTGCCCAATTGTTCCCATACTTGTTCAGTAACCAATGTAATGGGTGAACCAGTATCCAGTTGAAGTTTGATTGGCATGTTGTTGATTTGTAAACAAAGATCAATAGGTTGATCACAATCTGGTTTCTTGATTGATAATACCGATACAGAATTTAATTGTTTCTTATTATTATCAGAAGTTGAACGACAAACTTTTGCAATATGTCCAGACTTTTTACAATTCCGACAAACAACATCTCGAAATCTACACGTTGAACGTGCATGATCAGTTGAACCACAACTAGAACAAGTTGTTTTATTAAATTTTGATTTTGTATCTGGTTTATTTTGTTTGTTAATTTTGTTAACAGCAAAATCCTTGATTGAATTTGATCGAAATCCCGACGCTTCAATCAAGACAGTATCAATTGTTTTTGCCGTGTTAATTGTTGCTTCTAATGTTTCTAAGTTCTTTTGCATTAAATGTTTTCGAATATTGTCATTTTGAAGACCACCAACAAAAGCAGTTATTAAAGCTCGTTCATAAAATACACTTGGAAAATCACAAGTAGTAGCTTTATTACGGAGGATATTTGCGAATTCTGTTAATGATTGTGATGTTTGTTGACGAATCGAAAAAAATTTAATACATTCAGTTGAAGTAAAAGTTACACGAGCATAATTTGTTCGTAGTTTATGAAGTATTTCAGCATATGAATACTCCGACGGTTGTTTTGGTTTACAAATTGATATTAACGTTTTGAATGATTCGACATCTAGTAAAGTAATGAGTAAATTTCGTTTCTTGGTTTCATCGACGATTCCTTCCACCGCCGCATGTGTTTCAAAAAGAAATTCCCATTCCTTCCAATCGAATGTTGTTGAATCAAATTTATAAAGACGATCAGGTGATTGTTTTGCCATTTAATTTTGTATATGTTCGTATATTATTTTTTTATATTAAAAAAAAATATCTTACTCTCGTCGCCAAATTGTCACGTCTTGATGTTCAATAAAATACGAGATATGGATGAGTATATTTATTGAAAGAAAGAAGAGAGAAAACAACGAATAGGGAGAACGGAAAATGGAAGATAGATATGAAGATGGATATATAACACATACATATAACGACAGCTATATATATGTGTATGTGTTGGATAAAACCATAAGAGAAAGGGAAAACACCATGACACACATGACAGAACATATGGATAATTCCACTATCATACTATACTATATGATATGGAATATTCCACTATCTCACAGAAGGATTATAAAAACTGCTTTCCTGAAATATGGCGTCTCCTTCGTTTGCCAGGAAAGAAATACTTATTTTAGACATCATCTGTATGTTTGAACCATATGTGATAACCCAAAATTCAAAGTTTCTATTTTGCTTTTATTTTGTATCCTGTCTATTCGTTTGTACAACACCGGATGATAAAAAACAACGTTGTTTTTTACAGTAATCTTCATATAAATAATGTTTAAGCTTGCTATATAAGTTAGGAATAATGTTAATGTATTTCGGTTTTTCTATACCTAAAAACATAAAACTAATAATAGTTTGTTCGTCATTTTTATACATACCAGATGGAGCAATTAAAATTTCATAGAATGTGATTGGTTTTGTCTGTTTTGTTTCAATATTATAAAAATTAATTAATTCAAAGAAGTGTCCTATACTTGATAGTAAAGCATAAAACAAAACTTTTGAATCACATTGATAATTCAATGACAGGTAAAGTACAAAATCCTGAATGTCACAAGGTAATCCTAAACATTCAAAATTAACTTGATTCATCAATTTGATGCATTCGCCAGTATTTGTTTTATTTGATATGTTCCACTTTTGATTATCCTATGATGTCATGATGAATATAAATAAAATTTACGAAAAATCTGAAATATTTTTAGAGAATATTGGAAAAACTTATAGCATATGTATATTCAAATTTTTAAAGACAATAAAAAATGAGAATAGATAGTACGTAGTTTATCACTGGATCAATCAATGAACTAATGGAGAAACAAACAAAGTTCTCTTTTTTCAAAAAAGATTGAAACAAGTATGTTTTCAGAGTGTGCTGGACAACATATACATCTCTTTCGAATATGAAAGACATTAATCTCTAATTTCCAAGCAAGTATCTCTATAAGGGCGTAGATGTTCTCTATAGATGGACAAGGGACACCCACACCCTCAAGAAATTGATATTATATATCTAACGAATGTTTTTGTATCTATAATTGATGATTAAAAAACAAATAATAAAAGACATAAATGATATTTGTATAGGACAAGAACAAATAAGAGTATTATTTATAAAACAAATCGATGAAGATATAAATAAAATCAGAAATTTTTCTCATGACAAACGATCTACAACTATATCAAGATTAACTACTCAATTTCAATCACTAGACTACAATAATTCAACCATACGTAGATTAAATTGTCGCTATATCAATAAAGTTGCTTAACTTATGCTAAAATCTTTGTTATTTTAAATAAATTATCGAAGTATATTATCTGTTTGACTTTAAACTTTCGTGAAGACAAAAGTCGAGGATAAGATTAAAAGATTTTCTTTTGATTTATAATTTACAAGATCATTTATTTCCAGGATTCTAGAAATTGAATTTTACACATATTAAATTATCTTGAAAGGCAGATATTTTCATAAAATTTTTGAAAAAAAAACAAACTAATTATACAAAATAAATGGATTCAAGCAATCAACACAGCTGAATTATCAATATCATCATCTATACTAGATGTTTCTTCTTCTTCATCAGTTATTACAGGGTTAAATGAAAATGCACCTGGCGGAATAAATGTTGATGCTAAAACAATTACCATAATAACGGTAAACTGAACACCAGCAGTATAAACAAGTGCTGGCCGTATTGTTCCACTTTTAATATATACACTATCAATAAATTTTCCAAGAAATGGATTTGCAATTGCATAAATAATAATATAAGATGAATAAAGAAATGACATAACAGCTCCAAGTACAGATACATCTTCATATAAAGGTTCAAGACGTGTTATAGATGATTGTATATGAGCAGCAATTGCAACATCACTAGCAGCCCATCCAAACGATATTGGAATAAACGTTAGAGCGACAATCCAAGCAAATTTAATACTATTAACAGGAGGATTAAAAAATGGCAGATACCAAATGATTAATAATAATAATGCACTTAATCTTAACCAAGGTATAGGAGTTCGAATGGATTTAGATAGAAATAAAATAAAAAAAGAACCAAGTAATTCTCCAAAATTCGAACCACCTATAATGATTTCTGACCAAGCAGAATTACCTAAATATCTTTTAGCAACTTGTGGAGCAAGTCCATCTTCAAGATATCGATGAGCATAGAGTGTTAATGAATAACAACTAAATAACCAAATATATTGTCGATTAGTAAATATAATTTTTCCTCCAATATATATTGATTGTCCGAATGCAATAAGTTTTTTAAAAATAATTGTAAAATAATTTGATTTTGATTTTGATTTTTTTTTATTAGAAATAATTTGATCATTATGTTTAGTTCTTTTTTTCTTAAGAGAACTCATAAATAACCATATCATTCCTGATGCAGTAAATAAAATTGGTGTAATAATAATAGCATAATTATTTCCAAGTTTTGGTATTAGGATAAGCCCAGTAACAAACGCTCCAATAGTTCCAGAAATAGCATAAAAAATATGAACTAATGCATCAAATTTTTGTAATTTTTCAACATGATTACCAACAATATCTGTTGGAATAACACGATGAATTGATTCAACTGTTCCATAAACAATACCAGTAATGCCAAATATTAATATAATCCAATCAGATTTATATTGACCATAGTAACTAAAATCATTTTTGTTAGTTGAATTAAAATTTCTTGGTTTTATATATCCACCAGTAGCTGAATCAAGAATAATTAAGATCGCAGTAAATAACGCAAAAATAAAAATTGCAATGGATAAGACAGTTCGTGTAGGCCAATGTTTAATAAGAGGAGAAATAAGTATAGCACCAAAACATTGTAATGCTTGATTCAAACCAGCAACTAATCCAACTTTTTGAAATGTATTTGGTGGTATTTGATTTTTCAATGCATCTTGATCAAAACGATTCGTAGCAAGAGTAATAATCGAACCATTAAATGCTTCTAATCCGAATTTATAAACTATAATTCCAAAAATATAAATTATAATATTTCGTTTTTCTTCAGCAGAAAATATTGATCGTTTATTAGTTATGTCAGTTTTTCTAGGTGACATTCCTATACAACACCTAAAATAGATTTAAAAAAAAATAACTATATGAAAATTTTTATAAAATATATTCGATAGAAAGAAATGACAATCCAACATATAGTACAAATTTAAAAATTCCTTTTTTTTACCATATAGTTATAACATTCTTTTTGTCAGTTAAACTTTAAAGAGACAAAGAAACATTAAGCTAAGGTTACTTAATCCACTTTTACTCCATTACATCCGTTGTATATATGAAGATAAAATAGAGAGCAAATATCTAAGTTTTTATAAAATTATTTCTGTTGTACTTGTATAACATTTACAGAGAAGAAAAAGAAAAAAAATCCATGTGATCCTGCAAGAATGAATATTCTAGAACACATAAATATGCTAACATGTTTAATGATGGAGAAAGAAAGGTTACCCTACTATAGTTCTATCGAGAGAAGAAAGAGAACAATGTTAAGACCTAATAATGCTCATCTTACTCATCACGTTCTCTTTCCTTTAACAATAGATGTATCTTTTTTTCTATATATATATTCAGCTACAAATAGACCGCTGACACCATCTGGTCGTCAATCATCAAATTTGATAGGGTAACAACACGAGTAACTATGACAAATAGTAATTACTTGACTATTTTCTGGCTGAATAATTAAATATTTATTAATAACAAATACATATATTTTTTTTTACTCAGTTTATGCGTTGCTACACTTGATGTATTTCTAGTTATATTTAATATTGAAAAAATAATAATATTCTTGATTGTTTTTTTTTTATATAAATATTTGGACTGTCATAAATTTATACAATATTTTGTCAGTACTGTTAAGTTTTGTTCTTCTGTCAAAATAAAATAACAAAAAGGAGTATGCAATGTAAATAAAACAATGCAGAATTAATAATAAAGTTAATCATTGTTTTCTTCTGATTTCTTTGTAAATGGATTTTGTTTAACTTTACTAATTACTTATGAATCATTGTTGACCTTACAAAAAACTATTATTTTCGGTACTCGATAATGCTCGTACATCACGACAATGGAATTAGATCACATTATTACCAAAACTTTAATGAAGCATATTTAATTTAATGATAAATCTATTCAATTTATTTACATTTTTTTCTTTTAAATTTTATCAAAAATAAAAGTGTGGAATGACTAAAATGCGTCTTAACAGAAATATTTTTCTTCCTATAAACAAAAAGTAGTCACATGTTATATCACGTTCTAGAAAACGAGACTGTGCACGATCAGTGCAAATGGCAGCCATTAAGTGTATTGTCTGTAGGAAGTAAAATTATGAATTAAAAAAAAACATTCTATTAAAAACGATAACATTTAATTTTAAATAAATAAAAGTTTTACTGAAAGTACAAGAACATGTATAAAAATAGCTTGAAAATTATCAATCATGAAAAAAGATGAATAGTGTATAATTAAATATTTTGTCATTAACAAATAATTTATTGAATATACAAATAACAAAGCGTACCATGTATTATCAACGATGACTTATTTTTACAGAGTATTGAAAAATTTTAAATTACATACTTAACGTAGCTATTGAAGGCTAAAGTTATAAATTATTTTAAGGCATAATATACTTTGTGATGTATTATGAATAATGATAAAGTTTCTGAATATCAAAAGATTTGCAAAATGAATGTTTTCGATAAAATAAACAATGATTTTTTATTAAGCTTTACATCTCACACTTCCAAGAACAGAAACAAATAAGTTTTATTTTGTCAGGAATTTTACTAAATACAACAACATTATATACTGTACGAAGATTCAAAAATTTTGCTTTTGTCTGATTTCATTCTATTTTTGAATGTTTTGTCTATCTTTCTAATTTATTTTGTTCTAACGAACTTTGATGCATCTGGGTCATAATGATTCTATACGAATTCTTGTTTTAATTAGTAATTTGTTTCTTGTCAAAAACAATTCTCATCTTTTAGATTAAATTTAAGTAATTAAGTTACACTAGAAAAATTTTTATAATTAATTTTTTAAATTAATATGATATCTTAGTATATAAATTGAGTATAATCAATTTTATGTATAAGTTTGTTTTTAAAACTAATGTAAAAATATTTATTGAAATACAACTTTATGAGAATTCTTTCTATTTGTATTGAGAATGATTATAATACTAAATAAGTTAAATATCAAAAACAGAATCAGTAGAACATAGTTCACACTGACGTAAGTACGTATTTATTTGTTTTGAAAAACTTAATTGAGATGATTTTATTTTATTCTAGTGGTAGTTGTTCTTTTTCCATTAGTTCAATCAGTTCTTGGTAGTTATGTTTTTCTTGTCTTTTGCGTTTGTTGTTTATTTTCATTTATTTTTCTTTGGATGAAGGTAAATATGTTGTTTTTCATAGTTATTTGAACAACTAAATTATGTTTTATTTTAGATGCCTGAAACTAAACGCAAAAAGCTAAGTGAAATTGAATCGTTTTGGCACAATTAATCAAGTATATATATTCTGCTACCTATGAGGTTGATCAAGAAATTATTATTGTTGTGTTGTGTCTACAAAGTAGTCTTTTATATGTTCTTAAGAAGAATTTTCATATAGTTGAATTGATTGTACTATATGTTTTAATGAAAATAAATCAATCACATTGTCTTTTCTGAATGACAAAAAATACATATATCAGAAAATGATATGAGAATCAATTATGCATCGATCCATCGTTAATATATCGACTGAAATAAGAATTAACCATCGTGAATTAAATAAAAATCACTTGGATATTCAACGTATTTTTTTTCTCCTTTTTTCTATTTTACATAATCATTTAATTAAAGATATCAAGATACTACTTATAGAAAAGGATTTTTCTCGTTATTTTGTTAGCTGATTGGTGTCAACAATAATCTATTGAATAATAGATATTCGTCTGATGAAATAATTTGTTATTCTTTATTTTTTAAATAAATTAGTATGGATAGAAAAATTTGTTTAAATTTGATTTCAGTTCTGTTATATACATGAAAGTTTAGGATGAATATATTGATTTTTGTTTCGTTTGAACTGCATATGCATGTACCAATATAGAACTTTGATTTGCTGAATCTGTACTTTCAACTGTATTATTTCTTGAACGTTGAACTTCATCAGTTGGTAGACTGGAGATAGAAGGTGTAAAATATGATGTTTTCAAAATATTCATAGAATTCAATTCAAAACCACCAGATGGAGTTGATTGGAATGAATTTTCATTTGCTAAACGATGATATTCATTCTGAAACTTGAATGGATTACTGTTTCGAGAACTAGAACCATCATTAATGTATTGTTCACGATAATCAGGTAATTGATTTCGAAAATCTTTATTCTCCTTTGTATGATCAATGAATCTTTCATTCCAACGATAGTTATCCGCACTTTGATTGCGATTAAGAATGCGACGACGAATTCGTGCGCTAAAAAAGTATAAAGAAAAAAACATATAGAAAAAAGAAATATGCTAAATGATATCTTTAAATATAAATATTTTGTTCGTCACAGTACAAATTGAAATACCTGTAAAGATTATATGGTTTACAACAACAGCAATAGTATAAAATCAATCCAGCAAGTAACAGTAATAAAGGTAAACCAAGTCCAAGACCTAATGCAAGTAGTCGATAATCATCATTCGAGTGATTTACTGATGATGTTGTTGAGATAGTACTTGTAGTTGTCTCACCTGGACCTATTGATAATTAATCATATATTTTTAAAAAGATAACAAAAATTTCATTTTTACATACACAAAAGAGATTGATTGGTTGCAACAACTGTGAAAGTTGTACAATATTGATCTGATGTTATATTAGCACTATAATAGAATTAGAATGAAAAAATAAAGATTTTTCTAGTTTAAAAAAAACTACCTGTCAATTGCTACAGCACAATAAATTTGAGATCCAATTTGTTGATTAGTTGGTATCCATGTTTGTGTTACTGTCCACATATTTGATGATCCAACTCTTGTCATATTACTTTTATACATATATAATGGAGATACTGTAACTAATTCAGATATCGATGTATTTGGACATCCTTGTAAAATTGTTACAGTAAAATTAAATTGAATTCCAACTTGAATAGCCATACAACCAGATAAATTTAAACTAATAATTGGTTTCAAAGAACAAAGAGATTCGCCAACAATTTGAATTAGAAATTGTATAGGAACACTACTAAGTGATGTATTAGTTGATGCATTAGCAAAATCTTCTACCATCAAAGCAGCAGCATAAACAATTCCGACTGTTTTTCCTGTGCTATTAAAGGTCAGCGTACAAGTACTGCTGGAAAGTGTACTACCTAGTATTGTTCCACAAACATCACCACATTCATCTAATTTCGATGTTTTCTTGGCCCAACGACAACTAAATTATACATAAAAATATTTATTTTTGAAAATTATTTGGAGACAAGAAAAGGAAAAGCAATAGCTTACCGTGTAATATCATTGTCAGCATCAATGACAGGAATTTTTATATTGATTAGACTATTGATCGGTACTAGGACAGCTATTTAAAAGTATAAATAAGTAATAAAGATATATTTCTGATTATGATCTATAGAATAGTTAAGAAAATGTTATTAAAAAATTATAAATGTGGAAATTTTATATTAATTTTTATCAAGTAGAGTAATAAAACTTAACAATATTCATGAAAAAAAAAAAGAAAATTAATTTTATTATTATATAAAGAACTATTTTAATAATAATTTTTGTATATGTAGATTGTAGTCATACATAAATTCTCATCTAATTATAACTTTTATTTAATATTTGTGTATGTATTTCGATTTGAGGAAAATTGATAATTTAACTTATACATACGTGAAACAACAGTTGCAACTGGTGATGTATTAATAGATCCATCAGATCTCGGAGTCAAATCAATACAAGAACCAATAGACCATTTAGCACTAGTTAAAGAACAATTATTATCACAGAATGGTGATTGAAGTACCATCCAGTATATATTTTGAAATGCAACACAAAATTTTGATCTAATTGCAATATTTTCAGTATTTGAAATTTGACTTGTTCGTGAATTAAAAACATTACTAGAATCAACACAATATCCTAGAGCATTTAATGTTGTATATCCACCACAAGTACTATTTGTTGTAACGCATTGAAGTATTGAAGGGTTGGATGATACAGATGAAGAAGGAAAAATATATGATTGATTGCAATAAGTATTTGTTTCTGTCCATTGATAAGATTGTGTAAATATTACAGGTATACTAGAATTTGTAATATTATTATTTATAACTTTCCATGAAATTGTTCCTCCAAGAAAATGTTTTGATTGAATTAAAGATAAGTTAGAAATAATAAAAAGATAAACGATGATAGCAAACATAATTTTTCTATCAATCTAAAATAGAGATGAAATTATTGAATTTTTGCACTGAGAAGTTCTTTTATATATGATGACATACGAGAAAAATAAAAAAAATATTATTCAAGAATATAAAAAAAAAATTGTGAAGACAAACTTTTTGATCATATGATTTTTTGAAATAATGAATTTTTTTTCTATGGTTTCAAAACAACAAGTCTCTATAATATTTTATTATTATTATCTAAAAAATCATAGTTGATATAAAATAAATTTTCCATGAAAAATTATTATTTCTTGTTGCTTGTTCGATCTTTAATGAATAATAATTATATGTATTGTTTTCGTATTGTATCATTCATATCTTAATAAATAAAAAAAACATAATGAATTTTATATATTTATGTCAATAAAACTAAAACATATAAAAGAAGCAATTCTTTTTCTTGAATTACAAGTGCATCGTCATTACCTGGAAATTCGTTCAGGTCATAGCTAATAATCAATTTGTATTATATGATTTTACATAGAAATCTGTGCGTATGTTTCTTATGTTTGAATACTGAATTATACTAAGGAGAAAATCAATAGTGTCGAGTTTAATAAAGAAACCAATTTATTGAAAGTATATACATGCTTTAATTATTCTATGGAAAAAAAATCAATAAGTATGTCAAGATGATCAAAAGTTCATTTTTACAAATATTAGTACTTATACAGATGAATTGGAGATTAGGATTATTTTCATTTTTGTTATAGTACATTTTCGATCATTTATTTTAATCATATATATTTATTAAGACAATAATAATCAAAAAGAAATTTCAAGAAAATGAATACATTGTGATATTTTTTTTATAATGAAAACAATATGTTTCAAATGTCAGTATTACGAATTGTTTGAGGTATATCATGAGCCAATACTCTAGCCGGTTCAACACGAATTCTTCGTCTTATTATTCGTTTTGACAGATTTGTAAAAGCTGCGTTAAATTCTTTGCGAAAACCTTTTGATTATGCAATATATACGTAAAGTGCCGATGCAGGATTAAGATAGACTAAAAATGACGTACTAAAGAAAAATACAAATGCTTCTATGTCTAAGCTTTGAGCAGACTTTATATATGTATTCGTAATAGCTTTATAGAGAGTAATTGCTGGAAAAAGACTTGTTGTAATAATATAGATAAATACTTGACTGAATAACATAACTGTAAATGTATGATCATTTCGACTATTTATTCTTCCTGCATTCAATCTAGTTCGAAGTTCTCGACGATGTCGAATGGTTAATAAACTGAAAATAGTCATTAAAACAGGTGGAACAATTCCTGCAACAATAGCTGAATAGAAACCATAGATTATAATATACGGGCTTGTCATAATACATTGGTTTTTATAAAGAACTTGTTCAAAGGCAATATGAACAGTTATAATAGGCCATATGAATATATTTGCAATAATCATTTGAATAGCTAGTTTTGGTTGACAAAATGAACGAAATCTTGCAGATCCATTACAAATAGCATATCGATCAATACATGCGAATACGATAAGTGATCGACCAATCATAAGTAATGTATGATTGATGTATTGTCGGAGTTTACAATAGACAAAAGAATATGTAGTCGGATCAATATGATCTAAATTGTACAGGGATTGTAGTATTCCCCAGCTAAGACTTAGTATATTGATAATGGATGCTGCAAGAAGATATAGAACACAAGAATTACGAAAGAAATTTTTACGAGTAAGAACATATATAATAATTAGATTTCCTAAAAAACCAAAAGCCCAAATAAAACTCGTTATATATCGAATCATCCATAAACGAACATCTGTTAGAGACCAACTCATATTAATAAAATATTGTTAATTATTTAAAAGATAATAATATCAATTCCTATAATTAACAAATAGAATCTGAAAGATAAAATTATATTTAGATATAATATTGTTTTCTTTGATAATTAATTTGAATGAAAAGTACCACATCAAGTTGATCATATAAGAGTTTATTTTACCTTATATGAGATGATTATTTTGAAACGTAATATGACCAACAAACAAACAGTAAAAACAAGATTCTAATTTTATTTGTTTTGCTATCGTTGGCGTTGTCATTTATTCTTTAATCTCTTTTTTCGCAACTCTTTAATTCAAATAAATCTAAATTAAATTGACGGTAATCGGAAATTAATTATGAAATTGTCTTCCAGCCCATTTTATAGTAGTTTATATAGAACAGAGCATATAGTAAAAACTCGAACACATTTACTGGATAGATCTCTATTAAAAAGTGACATAGTAATGTTTTTGATTATTTGTATTTTATCTACAAAAATCACTTCTTCTCTTGAGTCAACATTTGTTATGATCAGCATAGATTTTTTTATTTAGAATTATCAAATCAAATAAAAAGTTAAAAAGAACCATGCGAAGGAAGTCTACAGGATAAGCTTGTAGTATCGAAAAAAATAATTTAAAGATACAAATAGAATGTCAATTCTGAAAACTAAAATTATTATCTAAATAATATTAAAGAAAAATTCTTTTTCAGATACATATCATTGAATCAACGTATTATAATATTCTATAAGGAAAATTAAACACAGAAAAAAGAATAAAAACCATTTTAAATTTATAAGCATTAAAAATTTTTTTATTAAGATGTTCTTTTAATAAAATATACGACTGTAAAGCTAATACTCGATAAAATGGTATGTTACACTAAACCATTAAATATTGCTTTTCTTACCAGAATAGTTAAAAATATTGCTAAAATTTTCATATAGAAGATATATAGATAAATCTCCAGATGTAAATTGTATTTAGACAAAACTTACGTCTGTGAAATACTACGTATAAAATTAAATGATAGATATTTATTGTTTTTGTCTAATCTTTTTTGTAATTCCAAGAAAAAAACGATGTAATAATTGATGTATGCCTCTAAAGAATATTATGACCTTCACTTAAATATTCTGACAATTTTAGCATTAGGCGTAGGCTAAAGAATTAATAAACCTTAGTTGAATAACGAGATTTACCTTTAGCAACACTATTATTTATATTTTATATAAAATATAATTTCTATTATTATAAAATATATTTTTTTCCGAAAAGAAACAAGAAATAATAATAATAATAATAAGTTCAAGAAAATCTTTGATATTACTGATATAACTGAAATTTTATTTATTCATCTAAAATTTGTTTTGATTTATTTTTATGTGCTTCAAATTTTGGTAAGCCATCACCTTTTAAAAAATCACCCAAAATTGTTCTTTGTCCATAAAATATATGACATGATGGTTTTAATTTCTCTCGAATGGTTTCTGATGCACGAAATTCTTTAAATGTTTGTGGAAATGCTAACCACATTCGACGTCCTTCATCAGCCAATGGTGAAGAACATTGTTTACAACGAACTTTGCATGGTAATATATGATTTTGTGTATTTTCACTATTATTGTAAAATTCTAATGAATCTAAACCTGATGTAAAATATAATGATGTTTTTGGAAATATACACGCCCATTGATATGGTGCTCCTTGTAATATTTGACATCCATGACAATGACAATAAGTTGAATCAACTGGAAATTCATCATAAATAACATATTGAATTAAACCACAATAACATGATGCATGATATTTTATTAAATCATCATCTTTCTTTGTATTGGAATAAGGTGGATGAGATTGCCAACTGGAAGACATCTAAAAATCGATATAGATATTATAATAAAACAATTCATTTACAGCACGTGTTTCTTTTCACGTGCTTACATATTGTATTGAAAGAACATAAGAACAAAGAATTCTATGATAAAAAGAAAAACGAAATAAATTATATTAGTCATACACCTCAATAAATAAATGGAAAATAATACTATTTTTATTGGTCTAATCAAATCATAATAGTTATTTGATAATCGAAAAAAATCGTCGTTTACAATAATTATAAATGATGAATTATTTAAATAAGAATTATATATGTAAAC